TTACTTTGTTTTATTACTTTGTTTTATTACTTTGTTTTATATTTTTGTTACTATTACTATTGTCATTTATCATTGTTATTACTATTTACTATCATTATTATTGTTATTATTATTATTATTATTAATTGCTATTATTACTAATTATTATTACTACCAATTATTATTATTAATTATCATTTTTATCACTTATTATTATTTATTATCACTTGCTATCATTTATCATCTATTATTAACATTAATAACACAAATAATAATAATAAATAATTAACAATAATTAATTAATAATAATAAAAAATAATAATAATAACAATAATAAGTAATAATAATAAGTAATAATAATGATTAGTAATAGAATAACATTTATTATTAATATTATATTATGATTATTATTTATTATCACTATTACTTACTATTATTCATTATTATTATCACTATTATTAATTACTATTACTAATTATTGAATAATAATGAAACTATTTATAAAGATGATATCATTTCACTAATCATATGCTCCTCAGTTCCATACTAATCTTACGATTAAATCGTCCACTAAACACAGATTTAAATATTAGTGCTAACCATTAACCTTCATGATGCTTTTATCTGAAAGACACAACAAATTGAAAGATATATGATAGTACAGAGTAACAAAGATTAGAAAAAAAACTTTGTAAAATTGTAGATAATAGGAAAAGATTAAGAATTTCATGATATTTCCAATCATATCCCCCGATGTTTGTTTATGCCCGAATGCGATATTCTCATTTTGAATTTGGCATACATCATCGGACAATTGTTATCAACTTTTTTGATAAATGTCTTATACATTTCAATTGATGCCATATCGCCCTCATACTGCGCCTAAATTGATACTATCGTGAAATATTTCTTCAAGTTATAACTATATAACTAATCACATGGAAGAAATACCCCAGAGTTTCTCCATTCAGCAGATAATTCTTCCATCACACACTGACCAAATTGACCAATTTTTATCACTGAAGCATCTTTCCCTTGCAAACTCTCAAATGATATTAAATTTTATTTTTCAATGAATCCATGAGAATTCTCAAGAAAACTATCTCTCACTACAAAATGACAATATCATATCGGAGACAACAACTGCCAAATATTACAAATTTCATTGATTATTGTAACTTTAACATATCTCTGAACTAATATGATGATTTGCAGAAGTGAGTCATATTTAAAGCAAAAAAACGAAAGAGAATAAAAAATCGATGATTGCAACGACAAATGAATCATTCATAGCAGATTTATTATGGCAAATTAACGCGACAAATAAAAAAAATGAAATGATGCTGATGGAAAGATCGTTCCGAACAAAATCAAATAATTGGAATTAATCGAAAAACATACATATCCCTACCAAGCTTCCACCGTTAACATTTCCTGAAAGTCATTTCCAAATGTTCTACTACAAAATTGTTGTCTTCAATAAATCTCAAAACCAGATAAGGAATTAAAGAATTACAAGATGATTGGATATGAATCTTAAACAATGATGTTGAAAGAGTACAGAAAACGTGAGCTTCAGAAGCAGCAAATATTGATATAAAAACAATTATCGAAATATTATAATGTGAAAGAAAACCAATTATTAACTATTTCAATCGGCTGTGCAAATTAAAACAGTTGCAATTGTTTCTTAATATATTAACTTAATTTCCAACGCGAAATTGTTAGTGTATCATGTAACAACTAAACCATTTAGAAATCCGTGTTTATTATATAACCGACTTCCAAGATATCTTTATTGCTCTTTAATTGCTCATCAATTCTGCATCACTCACAAGAATCATATTTATGGACGTTATATTTGGGTAAATAATCTATACCAATTTCCAGCAATCAATAATGAATATTTTGGAATTACAAATAAAAATATGTATAGTTCAATCACACCTCAATAAATGAACTTTTTTCGAAATTCCACGTGAGTTGCTTCCTGCTAAAATATATTTGTGAATGGAGAATACAGCGCTAAATTAGCAAAACATTTCCTTTACGCCTGAAAAATAATAATCCCACATAAGTGTTTCACAAAAAAAATTACAAAGGTCATTCGTAAGAAATATGAAACAGATAAGTCAACAATTTAATGGGCTTCAGTTGCAGCTTCCACACTTTATCGAAATAGAAAATTCAAGTGAGGAAAGGTAGTGCTCTCTAACCAAAATAATTCACAAATATAAACGCGAGACATATCCAAATTATGAAAAAGTTCCATCTGCATCTTGAGAGGACGGCAGTAATTTCAATTTTTCAGTAAGATGCTACTCGCAATTTACTACTTATTACCAAGATGCGTCTTGACGCTTTCTACAGCATTACTGCAACCACAAAATTAAATAGTTAAATTTTATGTTCAAACATAACTCAATTGTTCAAGAAAATACACACTTGATTTTGTTTTTTTAAGTAATAGTAATGGGAAATTAAAATTGGGGGATAATGAAAAATATTTTTTGAGATATGAAGATCTAAACTACAAACATAACCCAGTTGAAAAACTGCGTCACTTATGTCTTTGAATGTCAAACAATCTGCAAAAAACGAGGGGAAAATAATCAATTCAAAATTATAATCAAAATAAATAAGGACTGGAACATATATCGGTCGGGAAACATGAAACATGAAACAATGAAATAGAGTGACAACAACATGTATCGGAAAAACTCTACATCAAACAACTGTGGATTGTTTACTCTTCGCGCTAATTATATTCGTACCACGTTGCCTTTATCCCCTGAAGAAAATAAAATTTTTTAAATCAGATTAATAATTCGCGTAGAAATAAAAACAGAAATTTTTTATTTAGTGATTAAAAATACTGTTTAACTCTGTATTGGTAAATTGTTAACGATATTGGCCATCATTTGATTAAGAATTATGCAGTTGTAATATCTAATTTTCTCTGCTTTTGTCATCCATTGTTGAGTGGCAGTCACCGCATTTTATGAGACTACCACTTAACAAGGTAAAACCCATAAAAAAAGCTATGCATTTAATCTTGCTTATATAAGCGTGACTAAAACAATATAAATTTTAATTCTAATTGTAAAAAATAATTATAAATTGCCTTATATTTCATGTAACCATGGAATAAGCAGCAGCAATTATTGCAAGTTTCGTAGCACTCAATATCACAATTTAAAACCTCCAAATAACAAAAGTAATGGAAATTAACTTCTCCAATTTCATCAGTCACTTTCATCAATTGGTTCACGTAACGGAGATAAGCGATCGTGATGCCGTTTCTTTCTAAAATCATTCGAATGTTTGCCAGTTTTTTTTACCGATGATCTGCTACTGCCAGAGGAACGACTGCTGCTTGTACTGGAACGATCAGATCGTTTGACATCATGACTCTCGCTATCTTCTTCATCCATTGAACTAGAAGTATCATGTCGACGACGTTTCATACGAAATTCTTCATTAGTGCTTTCTGCGCTCTCAGAACTTTTAACACTTTCTGGACTTTCAAACTTCTTGGGTTTGGAGGCTGAAGAACGTTTCATGGTGTTGTTTTTTGGGGAATATGATCGTTTTCGAGACGAAACACTTACAGATTTATGAATACGGTGAGAGGCACTTCTCCGGCTTTCACTAGAATGCTTACGACGGTGTCGTGAACGACTCCTGCTTCTGCTTCTTTGACGTTTGGAAGGACTTCTGGATCTGCTTTTATGATGTCTTTTAAGTAATGAACCATTGGATTGTGATTTACAACCAGATAATTTATGAGTCCGATCACTAGAAACCGAACGATCATGTCCATGACGTCTGGATTCGTAACTTTCTGCACGATGGAATTTCGATTCACTTGACTCTGTGTGATGTCTTTTGTGTTTGTGATAATCATATGAATCACGATGTCTGCGTTTATTAGATCCTGAATCATCATGATCAAATTCCGTTCTTGAAAGATGAGAACTCCTCGCGAAACTTCCCCTTGACCTATGTCGTCTGTAGTTATTTTCATCATCAGACTTCCTACGTGATCTGTGCTTTCGCGTAGACTTTTCAGACTCAGATCTCTCCTGTCTATCTCCTGGTGAATGAATCTTCCTTTCGCGACTTATCGACTTTTTACTTCGGTCTCTTATTTCTGATGTTGGTTCAGGGGAATAAGAAGGTGAGTGCACCTTATCTGAATTGTCATTCAAGATATTTTCAGCTGCGCCACAATTCGATGATGTAGTAGAACTATGTGTACTACCTGAGTGATGCAGGAATTCATCATTAGAACTAGAATTACTTCGATTTCTATCTTCAGATTCTGCAGTATCATGACGAGATTTTTTCTTTAAACTATCGTAAATCTCCGATGAACGGCAAGGCCATCGTTCATGGTCTGAACTTTGTTTCACTTTTTCTTTATCTTCAATAGGTCTATAGATTTTCGTTTCTGATTCTTGGATATCAATTTCCATCTTAACGTCATCCGCAAACCGTTCTTCCGGTAAAGCTATTTCAGCAATATTTGATTCTGCAAGTGGAGTTTTATTTCTAGTATTTCGACTCGATTCGTCATGGAATGGTGGTACTATCGATGAAATTTTTTGTGAGGATATGCTGCCAGAATGAGAACTTGATGCGGGTTCTACTTTGATATCTTTTGTATCTGGAACGACTTCTATCAATTTTGATCTAGGACGTTTTTTCTCATCCACATCTAAAATATCTCTTCCTAGTTGTTTCCCGCCTTCATCGTCATTATGATCCGCCATACCGTGTTTTTGTTTGCAGTTAGTATCGGAATCTGAAGAGTATTGATATCTGCGATTTGAACGCTTTTCTTCCTCACATTGATGCCTTTTCTCGTCCTGGTCATGCTTCCGACGTCGATCGCCTATTAACAAAAATTTTTATTACTTTTATTTGAAATAAATCAAAACATCAAATGAAATATTCTCGATTCGAACTACTGCATCTCTTTCCCTTACAGATTTCTGGCTTTTAAATTATACTCACTCCATATTGTACCAAAAATTACAAACACACGGTATCCTTAAAACTTATCTAGTTCTCCAGTTTAAGAATTTTCATATTTATTATCATGAACCTATGACCCATTATCATTAAAAAACTGGACATCTTACTTTCTGAATCGTTTTGACGATCGCAATGTCGAGAGTACCACTTGCGCCGCCCTCCATCATCATATGGATATGATCGACCAGACCTGCAATCCATAAAAAATTATTGAACCGAAAGAAACACTAAAGATAAACATTTGATATGATAGCCTGGATTGAAACTTTCCAACAAAACTAAATAAAGATGAGATCCACCTTGAAATTTTCTTAGCGACAAAATTAAGATGAGAATAATAAGCAATAGCAAGTAAAGTTAAGGATATAATAAAAACCAATAATAGCATTCTTACGTGTAAGCATTGCAAGTAGTAATAGCTCATTTTAATACCCAGATCGTAGAAAATAAGATACCTTCGATAGTCGAAGTGATCATCACCGTAACGTCGACGATGATGAGAACGGTCGTGATAATCTTGTGAATCGCGCCCGCGGCGTTTTTCACGATCAGAAAAGCCACTACCATTATCATTGTTGCGTCGATTACAAGAACGTCGATTTTCGTGGCGATACGAACGCCTGTTAGACAAAATTATATTTACACCAGCCAAAATAGAGCAGCAACAGTAAACATGAATAAATATTGAAGGTTTTCGCTTTAACAAAGTATTTTTCAAGTACAAATCCTGTCAACTTCGCTTTCACCTCTACAAAAAAATTACCTACAATTTACCCCAATACTGGAATGATATACATTCAAAACGGGAAAAAACTTACGGTTCTTTGGTCTTTTCTGACAAATCCCTTCTATTATGCACTGCGTCTTTAACTTTCTTTCCTACTTTAGCTGCTGATACATCACTGGAATTATTTTCGCTAGATTCTCCAACTGAATTAGATGAACTGTCGTCGATATCTGAACTAGATTCTGAGGAGTCATCAGATGATGATTGCTCAGATGATGAAGACGAGGAAGATGATGAGGACGACTCGGTTTTCGGTATTTTCCCACACTTTTTAATCTTAAAAAGATTAACTTGGAAGTCCTAACATTATAGTAGAATTCTACTCAAAAAGACAATCATCAAAAACAAACTCATAATAAGTTATCCTCAGAAATGATAAGACGACCCTTACAACATTCCATAACGAAATAGAATATCACTGAACAGTATAAAGACTACCTCAAAAACCTGTCGAGGGAATAATATACTTGACATAATTTCACCGACATCTANACACTTTTTAATCTTAAAAAGATTAACTTGGAAGTCCTAACATTATAGTAGAATTCTACTCAAAAAGACAATCATCAAAAACAAACTCATAATAAGTTATCCTCAGAAATGATAAGACGACCCTTACAACATTCCATAACGAAATAGAATATCACTGAACAGTATAAAGACTACCTCAAAAACCTGTCGAGGGAATAATATACTTGACATAATTTCACCGACATCTACATATGAAAGTGCAATACATAATAGAAGAAAGATTAAAGCACGAAAAACTCCTTTAAAAGAAGAACTTACTTCGTCACCCTTTTTTTTCTTTCTCTTACCGTCATCTTTTTCTGCTTCATCCACTTTCAAGTCAACACTTTTGTTTAACCTGAAAATCAATTAATAATCTTATTCCATGTGTATCTGTCACCACAAGGTTCTCTAGTTCAGATTCTTCTTACATTCATTCGGGTTTTGAGAGATTGGATGATGCTACAATAGGTTGGAATACAAATCAAAATGTCTGCAATACAACTTAAACGATTCTAACACTTCAAATTACAAAAAAGTCGTAATCGAATGACTAAAACTTCTTTACTGCAGCGAATACTGCTAAACAATATCGCAAAAATAAGAAAATAAAATTGAAGTGGATTGTACTATAGCGAATTTAATTCTCGTTGCGTAAAATCACATAAAACTTGAACTGAAATCTTCATGAAAAAAAAAGAAGATATGGAAAAACTCCGAAAGAACATAACAAACTTTTCGAACGATGTTCCATCAATAAAATCGTCTTTAATCTTAAGTGCAGAACGCATTCGGTTACAATTATCAATAGCAGCCTTTGCACGAACATGCGTATCACGAATGTCCATTTCCGCATCTATATCCAGTTCTCCAGATGCTATCTGGCTCTGAAGAAGCTTCCGATATTCATTTACTTTGTTCTGGATTTCAGCTTCATCGAATCCCTGAAATTTTCGAAAACACGTGATCTATGAAATCATCATGCTTGATAAATTTAGTGAGAACCAGCTAAGAAACCAAGTGCTAAAAGAAATTGGTTGATATAAAATACTCAGAAATTATGATGAATATATTGAAAAGGCTTACAACACTTCACGATTTAGAAGCAATCCATAAATGTATCAAAGCAGATAAATTCTCTTCAGACAAGAGAATTTCACGCTGCTTAAATTTTAAAACGGTTAAGAATATTACAAATTGAAAAACTATCCAGTTTTAATATTAATAGCATTTATAACTAAATAAGGGTTAGGCCTTTTCGAAGGGGCTTATTACATCGATCGTCAAGTCATTGTCTGTTTTCGACCTGCTTTGGCGATATACCTCACTGTGTGCCATATTATACTTTATTGCTGCTTATACTATAGCGCAACAAGGATAGATGTCATTTCATTGTAAATCAATAGGAAGAATTAAACATTTACTTAAACAGATCGTTAAAAAAGGAAAATTGGCTGCAGTGTTTTGAAAAACTTCTTAAGCTGATAATTTTTAGAAGATAAAACTTACTTTGTTTTCCATAAGCATTTCAAAATCAGTACATTTCAATTCGATATGTCGTTTGCGGTAATGTTCTAACAGTTCTTTGTTCGGTTGTTTGTTGATTTCAGCCTCCGCTCGCTTAATATCAGCTTCGGAGTTATATGCTACTCGTTTCTGAAGTGAAATATTTTCTTAAATGGATAACATCAAATAACTCTTAAACTCGCTCTCTCCAGAAAAGAATTGTTCACACTTATTATTTTCAACCTTCCATTTTTCGCACTTTGCAAAAATCATTTCCTCTATCAAGTGGCAGTTCAATTTGTAAGCAGATGGAGTTGACCACGGAATGGAAATAGATACATTTTGGGAAACTCTCGAATAGGCATACTCTAGGACAAAAATCAAGCAAAGGATCATTTTGGATGCCTATTCAATCTACCGATATGTTTATAATGAAAATCAATCAAATGAAATGATTCTATGCTAGCAGCTGCAAAACAATTACTGAGAATTTAAAAAATAATTTTTTTTAAATAAACCTTTGAGAGCAACAAATTCGCCAAATTTGCCTGCACGTATCCATTTGTGCCCGATCCACGAGCTGTTTGTAATCCAATCCCATTATACATATTGTACGGTCTGCAAAATAAAATTTATTAATGAGAATCAGAATTTAATGTTTTATAGAAATAATCACAAAAGACAGTTACAATTACTGCTTTTAATAACATCGTACAAGAAACATTAATTATCGAACTCATTAAAGTTTAGTTAACACGTTTCAAACACGGGCATATTGACAAATTTTGAATGAGCCTTGTCCTGTAAAACATTATTTTAATCTCTTAATTTTAGCTGCTCTTCAAGCAGCTTATAATTATATTACTGTTATCGAAGTTCAGACATCTTAACAACTCTTTCAAACGGAAAATTTGCTACTTCTCAATTCAGATTACAACCGAAAATTTGAGAATCATTAAGCAACTCTGAAGACCTACATAATCAAACAGATGGTGATAAAGGAGAAGTTTTTGGATCTTATCCACTATGCATACTGAAGTGTCCACAAAGAAAAACTTAAACATACAGTAATACAGCCTTATGTCCAGCACATTAGCCGTACATTAGTCAATATTTAAGGAAAGAAACAACAAATAATCATACTCCAGTAGATTGTAAATTTCAGAACAATATCATAACATTCACACTTGAAAAATTATTTGAAACCACCGAGCTACGTGAATTGAAGCATACAGATGAGTGACGTCTATTGTCTTCATATACTACAATGGTCTAGTTGATGTTACTGCTTTAATCAAAACCACTTCTTGAAAGTTTACGCGCAAAAGTTGAAACCACTAAATGAAACAATCAAAAACCACAACTGCTTCCCCTCGTTCACTTCTGTCCGATGTGGAGATAATCAATCTTATCCTTACGTCGAAATATCACAAAGATATGCCGTAGCTCAATTTTACATGCGACGCTGAATGAAATAAACTGTCTCACCACTCGATGCTTCTTATGTCAATATTAAGAACAATATATGTTAAGTAGGAAAGTATTTGAAATATAGAACAAATTATTACATGGATTGTCAGGAGTTTAAAACAAACTATTATAAATAAAATATATTATGTAACATTTTATGCTATATTCAAATTTTTTTGAAATATTGAGAACATGCTAAAATCCAAAACAATCCCGACATTTTATATTACTTTTGCAAAAGTTAAGTAATTCATAATTTCGGCGTCGTTTAACATCCATTTTATTGAATTGTCTGACAAACAATTCACCTTACTGCGCAGTAATGATTGATATACCGCATTGAAATAAATGATTTTAACGGTTTTCAAGTATTAGGACGAAAATAATGAGACTCAATAAATTGTGAATTTGAACACTTGCGCAGGGCATGGAATTATTTATGTCCGAGGAAACCTGAATTTCATTGTAGCTAACATTTGATTTCTTCCTTTAATCAAAGTGAAATAACAACAGTGTAACGATTAAAAAAGCCACAATTTTCTGAGTGCACCAGTATCAACTATTCATAAAAATGCCAAGAAACTGTAATACTGCATAATAATGACTGCTATCAAATCACTCTCAACTGCTAGAATTAAATACAAAATAAACTAACACTCAAAATTTATCTTCATTTCATTTTGTCGTCAAAAAACTTCAACAAAGATATAACATACGAGCTATAAATACCTCAACACGTCTCATCTACTTTAGGGAAAACTAAGACAAAAGTAGAATCAGTAATCAGTTTAATTTATCAAGAAAAAAAAAAGAGAGTCAAGGATTGGTAGCGATTGCAGTGACTTAGTTTTATTCCTTTAATTCTAATTAGTTATAGAAAATTTGAGTGACTTTTTCCTCTTTCAGCAAACAAGTGAAAAGTAGTAAAATACATTTGCTGAAGGTAAGATTTCTTGACAAGCTTTGCAAAGCAGACAACTTCTAGACTTTAATATTCTAAAGAAATTCTTTTTGAAGTAGAAGTGAAACAAACCGAATCAAATTGAAAATTTCCATTAGCATAAGTTTTTCCAAGGAGTAAATGATTTTCGGACAAGAGTAGGATTAATAAAGTCACAGAAAGAAATTTGTTAATATTGAAAGATAACCACAGCAAAATACAAAAGACCTCAGAATTTTCGTAGCTGTTGATACAATACAATTTTAGTTATATTTCCATCAGAAATATCACATATCAGTGTGGTTGCATTATGAACGCAATTAGTCAATAATAAGGTGACATGAATAAAGAAAATAAAGAAATAATTAATAAAAAATATATTTCAAGCATGCAAATCATTGAGAAATAGTGAGGACACATAGATCGAACAGTTTGAGTTAAATTGACTGCTTGTGATATCCCATTTGCTCACAATGACTTAATTTCATAAAACAATTTGTTAGAGATGCACTACATTAACATCGAATGAAGTTAATAATGGATTTACAAGATATATTTATATCTCAAAAGTTAAAAAAGAAAATTGTGAAAATAAATCTGATGACGGAAATCTCGCCTCCCCTTATCCTGCCCAAATTTTTCTAATATTTTGAGATGAAACGTATGATGCTGTAAAATACACAAGAATTTCACGTATTATCGAGTCAAATAAAAAAACCAGACAAAAAAGAAAGAAAACGACAGTAATATAACGAAGATTAACACAAAGAAAAAAGTAAAAATCTAGTTAGCAGAGATCGACGAATGATATCCGGACATTCTCATCGGCGTGTTTCGTGAACTGATCACAGTTTACCAAGGCACTTAGCATTCAACTACTTCTTTGTGGTAGAACTTTCCTGGAATATTTTACAACTAAGACATTCATTTAAGAGCTGTTCAACTATTATAAGACGGGAAAAAATTTTTAATTAGGAAGCTAATATACATTTCATTGTTTCCATATGAAGCAAAAAGATTTTTGTGGTTTCTGATCACTTACTGCTGTCCTGTTTCTTCCATAGATATTATCATGTTAAATATCACTTCTACCCCAATCTTTTTCATTTTAGAAATGAAGTTCATTAATTTTTCAAACAAATATTTAAGTATGTTAACCTCTTTTTGGCCGTTAGTCCGTGTTTCCACTGCAGATTTAATTTCCACCATATGTTCACGAAATTGTTTTTCAAGGATATCAGCACATTGATAAATAGCTGAATCTTTAGGATTGAATATCCGAGCATTTTCAAAAATTTGTGTTATGTCAGCTTTAAATTCCTTCAAACTGTGGTATGCATATCGTTTCAGTTTTTGCTGCACAATGCTCAGATCTGTAAATGAAATATTCTACTTAAATAGCCTTCGGTAACTTAACAGATTTAATCATAAACTACTTGTTAAAATAATTGGAGAAGATTGACCTACTTTCTTCACTATGAAAAATATTTGAAAGAAAAGCAAAAGATAATTAAGTTACCGAAAATTTAGCACACTCTTAGCAAATGAATTTTTTTTCTTGATAAACCAAAATATATATATATATATATATATCAATCCTAAAGTATTTTCCTACACTTTTTAATCTTAAAAAGATTAACTTGGAAGTCCTAACATTATAGTAGAATTCTACTCAAAAAGACAATCATCAAAAACAAACTCATAATAAGTTATCCTCAGAAATGATAAGACGACCCTTACAACATTCCATAACGAAATAGAATATCACTGAACAGTATAAAGACTACCTCAAAAACCTGTCGAGGGAATAATATACTTGACATAATTTCACCGACATCTACATATGAAAGTGCAATACATAATAGAAGAAAGATTAAAGCACGAAAAACTCCTTTAAAAGAAGAACTTACTTCGTCACCCTTTTTTTTCTTTCTCTTACCGTCATCTTTTTCTGCTTCATCCACTTTCAAGTCAACACTTTTGTTTAACCTGAAAATCAATTAATAATCTTATTCCATGTGTATCTGTCACCACAAGGTTCTCTAGTTCAGATTCTTCTTACATTCATTCGGGTTTTGAGAGATTGGATGATGCTACAATAGGTTGGAATACAAATCAAAATGTCTGCAATACAACTTAAACGATTCTAACACTTCAAATTACAAAAAAGTCGTAATCGAATGACTAAAACTTCTTTACTGCAGCGAATACTGCTAAACAATATCGCAAAAATAAGAAAATAAAATTGAAGTGGATTGTACTATAGCGAATTTAATTCTCGTTGCGTAAAATCACATAAAACTTGAACTGAAATCTTCATGAAAAAAAAAGAAGATATGGAAAAACTCCGAAAGAACATAACAAACTTTTCGAACGATGTTCCATCAATAAAATCGTCTTTAATCTTAAGTGCAGAACGCATTCGGTTACAATTATCAATAGCAGCCTTTGCACGAACATGCGTATCACGAATGTCCATTTCCGCATCTATATCCAGTTCTCCAGATGCTATCTGGCTCTGAAGAAGCTTCCGATATTCATTTACTTTGTTCTGGATTTCAGCTTCATCGAATCCCTGAAATTTTCGAAAACACGTGATCTATGAAATCATCATGCTTGATAAATTTAGTGAGAACCAGCTAAGAAACCAAGTGCTAAAAGAAATTGGTTGATATAAAATACTCAGAAATTATGATGAATATATTGAAAAGGCTTACAACACTTCACGATTTAGAAGCAATCCATAAATGTATCAAAGCAGATAAATTCTCTTCAGACAAGAGAATTTCACGCTGCTTAAATTTTAAAACGGTTAAGAATATTACAAATTGAAAAACTATCCAGTTTTAATATTAATAGCATTTATAACTAAATAAGGGTTAGGCCTTTTCGAAGGGGCTTATTACATCGATCGTCAAGTCATTGTCTGTTTTCGACCTGCTTTGGCGATATACCTCACTGTGTGCCATATTATACTTTATTGCTGCTTATACTATAGCGCAACAAGGATAGATGTCATTTCATTGTAAATCAATAGGAAGAATTAAACATTTACTTAAACAGATCGTTAAAAAAGGAAAATTGGCTGCAGTGTTTTGAAAAACTTCTTAAGCTGATAATTTTTAGAAGATAAAACTTACTTTGTTTTCCATAAGCATTTCAAAATCAGTACATTTCAATTCGATATGTCGTTTGCGGTAATGTTCTAACAGTTCTTTGTTCGGTTGTTTGTTGATTTCAGCCTCCGCTCGCTTAATATCAGCTTCGGAGTTATATGCTACTCGTTTCTGAAGTGAAATATTTTCTTAAATGGATAACATCAAATAACTCTTAAACTCGCTCTCTCCAGAAAAGAATTGTTCACACTTATTATTTTCAACCTTCCATTTTTCGCACTTTGCAAAAATCATTTCCTCTATCAAGTGGCAGTTCAATTTGTAAGCAGATGGAGTTGACCACGGAATGGAAATAGATACATTTTGGGAAACTCTCGAATAGGCATACTCTAGGACAAAAATCAAGCAAAGGATCATTTTGGATGCCTATTCAATCTACCGATATGTTTATAATGAAAATCAATCAAATGAAATGATTCTATGCTAGCAGCTGCAAAACAATTACTGAGAATTTAAAAAATAATTTTTTTTAAATAAACCTTTGAGAGCAACAAATTCGCCAAATTTGCCTGCACGTATCCATTTGTGCCCGATCCACGAGCTGTTTGTAATCCAATCCCATTATACATATTGTACGGTCTGCAAAATAAAATTTATTAATGAGAATCAGAATTTAATGTTTTATAGAAATAATCACAAAAGACAGTTACAATTACTGCTTTTAATAACATCGTACAAGAAACATTAATTATCGAACTCATTAAAGTTTAGTTAACACGTTTCAAACACGGGCATATTGACAAATTTTGAATGAGCCTTGTCCTGTAAAACATTATTTTAATCTCTTAATTTTAGCTGCTCTTCAAGCAGCTTATAATTATATTACTGTTATCGAAGTTCAGACATCTTAACAACTCTTTCAAACGGAAAATTTGCTACTTCTCAATTCAGATTACAACCGAAAATTTGAGAATCATTAAGCAACTCTGAAGACCTACATAATCAAACAGATGGTGATAAAGGAGAAGTTTTTGGATCTTATCCACTATGCATACTGAAGTGTCCACAAAGAAAAACTTAAACATACAGTAATACAGCCTTATGTCCAGCACATTAGCCGTACATTAGTCAATATTTAAGGAAAGAAACAACAAATAATCATACTCCAGTAGATTGTAAATTTCAGAACAATATCATAACATTCACACTTGAAAAATTATTTGAAACCACCGAGCTACGTGAATTGAAGCATACAGATGAGTGACGTCTATTGTCTTCATATACTACAATGGTCTAGTTGATGTTACTGCTTTAATCAAAACCACTTCTTGAAAGTTTACGCGCAAAAGTTGAAACCACTAAATGAAACAATCAAAAACCACAACTGCTTCCCCTCGTTCACTTCTGTCCGATGTGGAGATAATCAATCTTATCCTTACGTCGAAATATCACAAAGATATGCCGTAGCTCAATTTTACATGCGACGCTGAATGAAATAAACTGTCTCACCACTCGATGCTTCTTATGTCAATATTAAGAACAATATATGTTAAGTAGGAAAGTATTTGAAATATAGAACAAATTATTACATGGATTGTCAGGAGTTTAAAACAAACTATTATAAATAAAATATATTATGTAACATTTTATGCTATATTCAAATTTTTTTGAAATATTGAGAACATGCTAAAATCCAAAACAATCCCGACATTTTATATTACTTTTGCAAAAGTTAAGTAATTCATAATTTCGGCGTCGTTTAACATCCATTTTATTGAATTGTCTGACAAACAATTCACCTTACTGCGCAGTAATGATTGATATACCGCATTGAAATAAATGATTTTAACGGTTTTCAAGTATTAGGACGAAAATAATGAGACTCAATAAATTGTGAATTTGAACACTTGCGCAGGGCATGGAATTATTTATGTCCGAGGAAACCTGAATTTCATTGTAGCTAACATTTGATTTCTTCCTTTAATCAAAGTGAAATAACAACAGTGTAACGATTAAAAAAGCCACAATTTTCTGAGTGCACCAGTATCAACTATTCATAAAAATGCCAAGAAACTGTAATACTGCATAATAATGACTGCTATCAAATCACTCTCAACTGCTAGAATTAAATACAAAATAAACTAACACTCAAAATTTATCTTCATTTCATTTTGTCGTCAAAAAACTTCAACAAAGATATAACATACGAGCTATAAATACCTCAACACGTCTCATCTACTTTAGGGAAAACTAAGACAAAAGTAGAATCAGTAATCAGTTTAATTTATCAAGAAAAAAAAAAGAGAGTCAAGGATTGGTAGCGATTGCAGTGACTTAGTTTTATTCCTTTAATTCTAATTAGTTATAGAAAATTTGAGTGACTTTTTCCTCTTTCAGCAAACAAGTGAAAAGTAGTAAAATACATTTGCTGAAGGTAAGATTTCTTGACAAGCTTTGCAAAGCAGACAACTTCTAGACTTTAATATTCTAAAGAAATTCTTTTTGAAGTAGAAGTGAAACAAACCGAATCAAATTGAAAATTTCCATTAGCATAAGTTTTTCCAAGGAGTAAATGATTTTCGGACAAGAGTAGGATTAATAAAGTCACAGAAAGAAATTTGTTAATATTGAAAGATAACCACAGCAAAATACAAAAGACCTCAGAATTTTCGTAGCTGTTGATACAATACAATTTTAGTTATATTTCCATCAGAAATATCACATATCAGTGTGGTTGCATTATGAACGCAATTAGTCAATAATAAGGTGACATGAATAAAGAAAATAAAGAAATAATTAATAAAAAATATATTTCAAGCATGCAAATCATTGAGAAATAGTGAGGACACATAGATCGAACAGTTTGAGTTAAATTGACTGCTTGTGATATCCCATTTGCTCACAATGACTTAATTTCATAAAACAATTTGTTAGAGATGCACTACATTAACATCGAATGAAGTTAATAATGGATTTACAAGATATATTTATATCTCAAAAGTTAAAAAAGAAAATTGTGAAAATAAATCTGATGACGGAAATCTCGCCTCCCCTTATCCTGCCCAAATTTTTCTAATATTTTGAGATGAAACGTATGATGCTGTAAAATACACAAGAATTTCACGTATTATCGAGTCAAATAAAAAAACCAGACAAAAAAGAAAGAAAACGACAGTAATATAACGAAGATTAACACAAAGAAAAAAGTAAAAATCTAGTTAGCAGAGATCGACGAATGATATCCGGACATTCTCATCGGCGTGTTTCGTGAACTGATCACAGTTTACCAAGGCACTTAGCATTCAACTACTTCTTTGTGGTAGAACTTTCCTGGAATATTTTACAACTAAGACATTCATTTAAGAGCTGTTCAACTATTATAAGACGGGAAAAAATTTTTAATTAGGAAGCTAATATACATTTCATTGTTTCCATATGAAGCAAAAAGATTTTTGTGGTTTCTGATCACTTACTGCTGTCCTGTTTCTTCCATAGATATTATCATGTTAAATATCACTTCTACCCCAATCTTTTTCATTTTAGAAATGAAGTTCATTAATTTTTCAAACAAATATTTAAGTATGTTAACCTCTTTTTGGCCGTTAGTCCGTGTTTCCACTGCAGATTTAATTTCCACCATATGTTCACGAAATTGTTTTTCAAGGATATCAGCACATTGATAAATAGCTGAATCTTTAGGATTGAATATCCGAGCATTTTCAAAAATTTGTGTTATGTCAGCTTTAAATTCCTTCAAACTGTGGTATGCATATCGTTTCAGTTTTTGCTGCACAATGCTCAGATCTGTAAATGAAATATTCTACTTAAATAGCCTTCGGTAACTTAACAGATTTAATCATAAACTACTTGTTAAAATAATTGGAGAAGATTGACCTACTTTCTTCACTATGAAAAATATTTGAAAGAAAAGCAAAAGATAATTAAGTTACCGAAAATTTAGCACACTCTTAGCAAATGAATTTTTTTTCTTGATAAACCAAAAAGTCACCAAAGCTAACCCATTGGTTTCTTAATAATAGAATAATAATCTGGATGATCTTTTCGATCAACTGATTCTCGAAAAGGCCAGCTAGTACGATGATCCTTCAAGCTATCAACAACATGCCAAATGAGCTTAAAATCAGGACGCTCAAGAAGCGGTGATGATGTGCTTGATTCGGCTTGCTTATTTTGCGTACATTGTGGGCACAAATATTCAGCTGCTTTCTCAGCTTTCCTAAATTTCATTTCAATAGACGCAACTTTTAATTGGCTTATTTTTAAAAATAGAATAATAATGTAATACTAAAATTATTAAATCCACACATCAATAATCACTAGTGAGTACTAATTTTTAGTATTTCTGGATGAGCAACATACTCATCGATATGCATACAACATTGAACTTCCTTGTTTTAAATCATTTTCCTCAAATGCACCTTGAAGAACGCGTACACTTCTTCCTCCCCCTCATTTTCTCAAAAAGGTTCTTAAATTCACGGGACTAAAAAAATGCACACTCTTGAGTGATGCCAACACATCGCGGGTGGAACCATCCTTCACATCCATCACATCCAACATAGAATTGCGAATCATCGTATGGTGTTTGGCATACACAATATAACTCCTGAAACTAGTGAACTGAAAATGAACTGAAGTTAACAACTTTCTTTTTTGTTAGATAACTCAAAAATCATTGCGAACCATTATTTTAGCGACACTAGCAACTATTAAGCAATCTAGGTCATATTATTGTGATTTTGACAGTCAGGACATAGATAAACCGACAAGTAAACATTATTACTTTCACTAACAGAAGGCAGAAACTAGCCTGTTCAGAGCTTTTTTGCTCTTTGGCACAATCTTCACACACCCAGCTTGTCATCTTCTTTGACTTTCTTTCCGATATACCAACACATTTACCATGGAACCATTGGTAGCATAAATCGCAGCCAACATAAAATCTGAAAATGAATAATTAAAAATTGAAAAGCTTGAAAACTTATTTCCCTCAGTTCGTTAATGAAATCTAACCTTTTTAAAAGAGACTTGTCTGATGTTCATCGCTGTTACAAGAGAAATATTTTCTAGTGCCTATCAAAGAGTATCATAGAATAAGGAAATGGTGAATGAGGCCTATCACGCAAAGATATATCATTCGTCTTCATCAGATAACTACTTTTTCGGATCATAAGGTTGATCGCATTTGCAGTGTCGTTTTGTGGTATCTATGTCTGGAATCGATCCCGAACATGCTGTTCCTGGCCGTGATGACGTTGAAGGAGAGGTCCCACGTGTGACATGACGTTGTTCACTTCGAGTTTTCCCACTTGGCTTCGCTTCGCTACTGCTCAACATCCGCGACGTCGACGCTGGTTCAGTCTTAATGAAACTTTCGTCCCCCTGGAATTATTAAAATCACAATACTTCGAAATCTAAGGAATTAGTCCTTTATTCACTAAGAATTCCTGTTATTAAAATGCGAGATAATTGCAAGTTCGACTCCTTGCTTTAGCAATTCATAAAACTGCGGATCACAATCCAACCGAAATTACATGAAAACAAAAACGTGAGGTTATTTTTATGTAGTGAACTAATCTTTTATAGAATATGTAAAATATAAAAAAGCCAATTCTCATTCAATTACAAAAGGATATCATCCTTCCTCTACCAATTTCTCAATGAATTTTTATATTTCAGCATTAAATAAGGCAGGAAGATATCCATAGTTATCCATTCGAACATTTATGAAGATGTCTTGCTAATTGTTCTATATCATTTTCAATAAAGCAAAACACTTACACATTTTTTCTTCTTGCTTCTCTCACTATGTAGCTGTTGTGAGGAGTCTTCTACCTTATGCGCCGAATCTATTAAAGAATGACCCTCTGAAGATGACTGCAATGATCGCTGTTGAGTGAACAAATCCGGTATTAACTCCGCAGATTTTGAACACTGAACACTATCGCTTTCGCTTGGAAGCTGAGTACTCGACTCTTCATCTACCTAAAGCTTAACTATGAAGATCGAAATCAGAAATCTACTGAACTTAATTGAAAGAGATTCGCAAAAGAACCTTGTTTGAGGCTGTTTCGTCGGTATGTACTCTGCCACCTAACGATATAGTACTTGGTTCTACCGGCATTCCTGCTATAGCCTGCAATTGTGAACTTGAGCCGGTATAAAGTTCACGTGCCCCTGCAAAAATGTATAAATTTGTACTGAGTGATAGAAACTGATAAAAGGAATTCTATTTAGAAGAAAAGGTAAAATTCAAATATTTAAAATGCTAAAATTCAAATCTACTTAAGCTAATCCCATTAATTGGTGATAACTGTATGATGGCAGGCACAATTCTTTTCGGATTAAATTAAGATACTAGAAAAAAAGCATCTACAAAACGAAATTAATCAAAAACCCTCATTCCTCTCTTGAGCTATTCTCAGTTTTCGGTCAACTTTTAAGCCTCACTCTTCTCAGGCCTACTTCGAGGCCGGCGCCATGGTGCAATCATTCCGGCCTCGGCCTCTGCTCTCTCCTCTAATTTAAGACGTCTTTTATTGACTTCTCTCTTGAACCGTTCAATTCGCTCACCCAGCTCAACTTCCAGCTGCCTCGCTGAAAGTCGCTCAAATTTCAATGCCCTAAAAATTGAGAAATTATTGCTAACAAAATAATAAATAGAAAACGGCAGAAAAAATACATCACCATAAAATGATAATTGATATCTTTTAGAGAGTAATTAACTCCATTTCAAAGTTAATCAATTTAAAACAAAAAATTGTGCGCCACCGAGCGAGTAAGATAATACCTTTGCTGCATTTCACGGCGTTTTCTTTCTTCTTGGCGCTTTTCATAAGCACGCTGAACATGACGTCTATGCCAACCATTCTCAGCATCCATTATGCAAACTTCTGTTATTAAGTTGTCAAGCATCTGAAAAAATAAATCCAAAAGATTCTAAAGTAAGACAATAAACATTAAATATATAAAGGTTTAACAGATTCTATTAAAATTCAATTTACATTTAAATTATGGGAATGCTCTTTTTTTCCAAAATTTAAATGCATCATTCGGTGTTTTTGCTCAAAGTTGAAGGCTTTTTCACCGCAAAAAGCTACTAAAGGAGTGATGATTCCGAGAAGCAACAAAAAATATAACTAGAAAACAGTAATATGTAGTATGAAAGGAAACCTCTTTTATAACTCGTTGATCGATCTGTTCAAAAGGACGAATGTAAAGATTTGAGCGGATATCGATGGTTCCAATATATTTTGCATGAGTACGGCTACTAACATAAGTATGTCCGACTGATGAAGACATATCTGTTGATTCGTTCAACTGTGATATATGCGTCCTTCCATACACTGATGATACTGGAAACGCAGAAATGAAAGAACAGTTTTGAAGAATAAAAACTGACAGTTCTGGAGAACGGTATTTGGAACTGAAGTAAATATAGATAACTCAGTGCTTTAATTACAAACGGTTAGTAAGCCGCGGTGATCAAGGTTGCCAAAGTAGTGATTTAATTTGAAAAACAGCCATTAAGAAATTTCTTGATTAAAAATGATGATAGTAGACAAATTCTTCAAAATTACTGCAATACACTCCACATAACTACCATGTGCACAGCTAACACATTTTAAAATTAAATTTGTACAAAAATACTACGTACACAACTAATTCGTCTTATAATCAAAATACTTCCATGTTGGAAGCTTGTTATTTGTTACTATACACTCCTAATCTTATCCTTTCCAATACAACATACTCCCAATCTTACCATCCAGTTTAGGTCGTAAAATTTCAAATATTTTATACATCACGCCCACTGACTTCTCACTTGCCATACAGCTATTTGTAATATTAAATCTCTGGATTTTATACCTTTCTAGCAAGTGACTATTTGCTATCTTCTGTTCAGCATTTGCACTATGCATACTACTTATCCTAACTCCTACGTATAATTTCAGTGTGTTTCAATGAACCGAAATGAACAGATAGCACCGAATGCCCTTGATATTAAACAAATTAGATATACAATAGTCCTGCCTAGATGAGACAAAAAAAAAACTTTAAAAAATACTCGAAATGTCAAAAAACCATTCATTAGTGCCTACTATTTATGTATTTAATAACTTTGAAACACATTTCGATGCGTAAGTTCAATAAGATACCTCCAAATAACAATCGTAAAAACACCACGAAATGCAATGAGCACTTTCTACTAGCGCATAACATACCATAAAAGAGTTAATGTATATTATCATTACTGCAGTTCATTAGAGATCATTGCGACAGCAAAAAAAAATTCAGCAACTAAAAAGAAATAGTTCGGAACAATGGCGCGACGAAGCACAGATAATGGAATGCTCCTTTGACCATTCTCTTAGACCAATTAAAAAATATTATAGACGTTACAACCTACTTGATAATGGAATATAAAACATTCCCATTTCTGCTTCCGAATTCGTATGGAAATTTCAAAGTTCTACTACTATGCGGCAGTGGAACTACGATTAAATAAATTGAAGATTATGTGCGGTGCAACAATTGTGAATTCATGCAACTCTATGTACAATCGCATCCGATGCATGCTTATCAAATGTTTCATGAGAATAAGCTGAAGCAAAAGCATTGCTACCACACATTCTATTCAAATTGCCATTTTCTTTCCAAATCACAAAAAAATGGAAAATCACAGTGAAAGCTTGAACACATTTCAATAAATAGTAATTAACGATTTACCTCCACGTCCGTGATGTCCAACTCGAACCATTTCAGCGCCAAGACGAACTCGTGCAGCAATTCTAGAAAGACATTACTTCATTTTCTTCACAACCCATATTTGATTTTATCAGTTTTTCCTAGTAATAATCAAAGAAATAACACTTTCGTAAATGTCAAACTTGTTCAAATGAACCGATTTCAATTTCTCAATTTGTTCAATCAAATGAAAAAAAATCCGGGAAACCCGTACCCTGCTTTTCTGATTTCTGTTCGTACCATGTTCGCGTATCTACCACCACCAGTTGCCGAAGATCCTGAACCGGCCTGGAAATTGGACTTTGGTAGTTTTGATCGCCCGTTTTGTCTATTTCCTAATCTACTACGGAAATCAAGACACTTAAGTGGACAATTTTTCATATAACAGTGCATGATCGTGTGACTTGCAAAAAAATCACTTTCAAAATACTTTATTTTATGCACAGGAATAGCAACATGAAAAATATGGAGATGCAGCCAAACATCATTTTCAGTCGACTATCATCCCAATAATAAAAAATCGAAATACAAAGTCACGTAGAACTAAACGAATGTGTCATCTGGTATAAATCATCCATATATAAAAAGATAATGAAATTACAATTTCTTAAAGTTAATATATTAACAACGAAGATTTTGCGTCCTACTATTTCAAGCACTGTTCAGACGTCGTGTGATAGGTAACTGACAACAGGGAAAAATAACACATGTCTTTAAAGGACAAGAATGCTGCAGGGTACCTACAGTGTGAAACTACAGTAGGCGAGGAATTGGTATAAAAGAAGATTTCCTTGCTGAGCAATGGAATATAACACGAATGTCTCAAATACAAGATCAAAATACGTCGTCAAGCGCATCGATAATGCAAGAGTAAATCGATAACAGCGTAACTATGCGAAATCTATCGATCCTCAGCCCACTGTTTTCGATGTTACACAAATCTCAACGTATGTATAACATTGCATAAATCCAACAAGCCAACATATAACACAAGGTCACACGATCATAGCAATTTATGAAAAATTATCGCAAATGCAACGAAGATACGAAGCAACATTTCTAAATCAAGCAATGGTCCAAAGTTCGATGGAACAACAAAGCGACCCTATTATTTTATCTTGTGAGTTAGTATATTATCACTTCCTTTGTTATTTTTGCCCAATTATATTTCACGACCAATTTGAAATTTAATTTGAACTTCTATCTACTGAGTTTTTTACTTTCTCCTTTCAAAATTTCTGAGAACTCTGAAATTATATTTCTTATCTCTAATCACTTGTTCTAAGCACAATACAAGAGATCCATAACCAATTTATCAGTAATGTAAAGCTATCAAATCCCGCTATAGGCCTGCAGGTCATCATTATTGTAGTAACCACCACTTATCTGAAACTCAACACTTAGAATGAAATTAATCTGGAAAATCCATTGGAGATCTATAATTCAGCAATTGCAAGAGCCGTTAAAACAAAGCCGTTCACCTTTCTGACTTAGATCATTGAAACAAACTAAACAGGGTTTCTACTTACCATAGGGTCATGGTCACCAAATATTTGACCTGATGATGTTTGTTGCTCGAGAGATGAGTGCACCACTGCCGTTAAACCTTGTCGCGGCTGAACTGTCACAGCTGGTATTGTATCGCTGACAATACGTCCATTTCTAATAGTAAAGATGTACTTTCGAAATTCAAATTTAACAAAATGAGAAATTAAAACTGCATCGGTACATATATTAAACTAACTGCAATTTACCTAATTGAGTCTCATAACAATTTTATGCTTGAGAGAAATTTTAAAAAATTAACACAACAAAGAACAACCTACCCAGAACTTGGAATTGATCCAGATGGTTTCCCAGATGAACGACCTCTTTCCGCCAATAAGCGATAATCTTCATCTACCTGTGCTGTAATCGGACTATTACGATCATTCGGTAGCTCATCATCTCCTCTTCGTTTTGTATTCTGCAAAACGTTTCAAAAGAAAACCTAAGCTTAATTTATCAACACGCTGCTCACAACACTCATTATCTTCTGCCATTCATCAAAAGTGATTGAAAAAAAAGACGTTTATATTTCATTAAGTAAACTAGTTAGCTGGGTTGAATATAGGAAGCTACTGCCGGTCATTCAACACCACTGTAATTTTACCGTTTGCATTCGACCAAATCGCACTGTAGACGAAGTTTGATGGGTGATGGGTGGGTGATTTACCAGTGCTACTGTTCGCTGTAAATCATTCTAGAATGAATCAATACAAAGGACAAATATGGAATGCTTGACAAGTCACTTATTACGGAGAAACTGAAAGACTTATTATCATCGAAAATAAGTCTATATAATAATTATCAATTATTAATCCTCTTTTTTCAAATACTGGGCAATGTTCCATCTTAGTCATTCAATGCAGTTCAATATTCTTTGTTGAACAAATCCAACAACTATGGCTATCATCTTTTATTACTCGTATAACATTTACAAATCCACACCTTATTTTGTCTTACAAGCTCATTCAGTACATTAAGTATGCGTACTAACTAAATTATTTGGCTACTAATATTTACCGCAGGTAATCGTACAACTCTTCCCAATGATTGATTACCAGTGAAAACAGTTCGAGTAGTACCGACTGGACGAACAAACGAGGAACCTATAAAAACGAATTTTATACCTAATGGAAACATTTTAAACACTGTTACTGTCATTGTAAATTTGACGAATAAAAAATAGGAGCAGCATGAAGTATAATACATAATTCAGAGAGACCTATTCCATGAAAGATCACAAATGCATACTTGTTAGAGAACCTCGAACATCGCTTATTGTTGCACCACCAGCCTGAAATGATATTAATATTTAGTAGCTATGATTCTATAGACTCAGTGCCCTACCCAAACTTGAAGTTCAGAGAAAGTCTAAAACCTGATTTGGAATACCTAGAAAACCTTGAGAACATTAAGTATGGATAACAACAACCAATCTATCTTATGTCTACCTTACTTTCCTCTTCCTTTTTACCCGCATAATTCTTCTAAACTTTTTCTTTTCTCTATTCTTCAATTCCTGTTCTAATTCAAAATATTCCGTACATCATCAAATTCCAATATAAATGAGTGAGACAGTAACCAGAATTAGCGACCTGAGTCCTTAACTAAGAGAGTAATGGGACGCCAGAAATTTTAAGAGGAATAACAAAAATGAAAAGGAGTCTGATGTTTCTTTAGTAAAAAAGATTGAGAAGCTTACAATAAAAGAAAATAAACAGCAAAAAAAAAAATGAATAGGTACTTGTGTTGTGCGGACCGCTCGATAAGCACCGGGTGTACCTGTGCCACTAGTAACTGGCCGTAAATACTGTGTCGTACCATCACTTCGACGAATCAACAGCAATCTTTTCCCTATCGGTGCCTGAAATTCAAAAAAACAAGACCTAAAAATATAAAAGAAAACTTGCAAACTCTCAGAATTAAAAAGTTTCTATAGAGAAAATAGTAGTTTATTATCTCCGCATGACAAATAAATTTATGCTTGTAGATAAGAAAAATCATCATTCCTTGGAAAAATAAAGGACAGCAAATTAATGCTTAAACCAACCACAGGAGAACCATGACTTGAGCCTGGAATTGATACAACTGTTCGAGCAACTGGTATTCGCAGTGATTCACGCTGATAGCTTCCAGCTCTTGATTGTGAAGTTATCACTGGTGGAGAGCGAATAGATCCTGGAGTACCGGTTGTCTTGGTCCCTTGCGTTGGACGATTCTGATATACCATTACACGACACAATGTACCATCCGGCTTCTAAATCGGTTCAAGTATTATAAATCGATTCTGAATTTCCGATAGCTAATACTCGCAATGCCTCGTATTTAATAAATGAATAAAACATAATGCAAAAACAAAAAATTTACCCCACGTATGAGAGGTTTTCAATCCGTTTTCTAAATCAAAAAACTTTCATCGATCTTCCTATAGCACTCTTCCTACTGCCTTTGTCTTTTCTAGGATTTTATTCCCTTCAAGAAAACTAAAATTAAAATTAAAAAGATGAAATTAACCTGAAACATTGTATATTTCCCTCCTCCCAGTAGTTCGCCTGGACGTTTGGGCACCTGTTCAAGTTGACGATGTACATTGGGATTTTGCCAATGCGCCTTATACGGACTGAAATTTCAGAATCAAAGGCATATAACACTACAAGTTCATTTTTAAGAAAAGTCAATGTATCAAAATCCTACAAGACACCATTAATGTGTAGGACAACCAATGATAACTTTCTCAGAAAGAATTCCACAATTACAATAACAGCAAACATCAACTCTCGTTTATGGTCAACAATTTCGTAATCACCTTTCACTCAACTGTTTTTCTGACCTCTGTTCTGATAATAGTGGAACTTTAGGTTTTGGTTCCAAACTCGAAACTGATTTCGTCTCAGCAATACTTGGTAACGTTTCGACGTCGATATATTCATCATCATCATCTTCGTCGTCCTCATCATCTTTTATATCATAATCGTAATCCGGTATGCGTTTTGGTTGTGGACGACGTCTTTCAGCAGATATACGATTAGGATGAACTATCGGCGATTCATAATGTTTCACAATTGGCGCAGAAAGTTTATTACCAACTGAAAACAAAATTCAGCGTATAATTCGTGCAGAAATAGTTACTTCCTTAAATTTCTTGAAGTCACGAGGTCAACAATTTGTCACTATTCCCAGTACATTTTCTCCTTTCCCAAATTGGAAAAATATAAATAAACTATATTGTTCAGACATGATAAGTGTTACAAAATTAGAATACTTTCAAAAAGCTGAAACTGCGGACCTGTAACAACCGATGGTGCAGCCAAACTGCGTCTTGTTCGATTTTCGACATTCTTCCAATAATTAGCTATTTCCCACGGTTTCAGTTCAACACCATCGATCCATCGTTCAATCACTTTCACATGACCCTTCCTTACCGCACCGTTTTCTGATCTCCCTCTCGCTATTTTTCTTTTACGCAAAGCTGAAATGAACTGGCCACTATCATCTCATTGCAATCGTCGAAATATACTACAGTGATCAAAAATGATGGTGAAGAATATTTTCATAAATGAATCCACAAAAATCAGTCGCTACAATTTTTCATCATGCATTATCATGTTGTGCGCTACTTTAATAGTACTATCCTATATCCCCTTATAGCAAACCGAACTCTTCCTAAGACACAACTAGTAACTGAAGAAACAATTCATGAAATAAATAGTGAAAAAAAACTCACAAAGTAAACTTACTTTTCTCCAACGATTTTGATGGATGATATGCAGCACTTCCTAAGCCTTCGTTAGCATCATCCAGATCAATATTGTCATCCAGAGGAATCAACTCTACACTAAGTTTATATTGCTCATACATACCGTCTGGTGGATACTCCTTATGGCCTATTACTGTTCGTACTTCATCATGATCCGCAAGATGGACTGTAACCCGAAAATCCTATAAAAGAGATTGATCAAAGCATTTTAAGGAAGGATCAAGCAGTAATCTATAAGAACAACACCTCCACCAACAATAAATATTCCAGAAATACGAGTAATTGAATCGTTTTGCTGAAGACAATAATGAAAATCTAAGTTTGGAGTATCAACATCTAATATACTATTAGATTTCTGCTCATTCTTATTGTGAGACTTTAAAGAAACTTTACTAATTTTGACTTTAAAAAAATTGAAAACAAACTTCATCTGGTTCGCGATGCATGTCAGTCCATCGAATGCATGCATAGAGTACCCGAAGATGCAGAGCTATAGAATGATACGACTGAGCGCGTAACACTAGGTATCTGTAATATGAAAAATTATATATATATATATATATACATATATATATATACACAACAATCTCATATTTCATGATTACAGTAATTCTAAATAAAAAATTACTTCACTATCGACAACAAGAAAATTAGTAAACCTCCAGCAATTATCGAACAGTGGACGCTGACAAGGATAATTCCACACTTGAATGTTACTTTTAGCCATACGATGAAAACCAGGAGCGAAATAATTCAAATTCACTCCACCCTGGCGAGCCAGACGTTTTAAAGCTCTGAAAAACTTGTCTGCAAAACTTTCATTAGAAGTCGATAGTCAAAAATTAAACCCTATTCTTTGCTGGAAAATTAAAGTCAACTAGTAGTTAGTGGAGATACAAACAAAAATTTATGCTCGTCTACTCAAAAAAATATAAACTACTGATATCCAAGTTGTTGCACTAAATTCAACTATATTTGCAGTGAGCTTTTCCTGGAAATGTTATCATAACGTTATCATCAGAAGACATAGTAAATTATTATGCTGAAACATTCAAAAAGACAAAAATGTTTATTAAATGTATTTCAACAGGACAAAGTAACCTCGGTGGTAAGATTAATAAACTTTGTTCACTAGTGTGTCTGACTCGATAATCAAATGGAACCGGGAGAGGAAACGGTTTATTCATCTCCAGCGCTTTCATACTTTGATCATTTCCCTGTCGAGATTTTGATGCCGGTGACGATGCAGGCCGTGCATGAACAACACCACTTGTAGTTCTTCCCACTATAATTACACGTGTGAACAATTTTTTGATACAAAACTGACAATATTTCAATCAATAAAATAGAAATTCGTGTAGAAAAAAAGTTATTACCATTTTTTCTCCTTGCTCAGCATAACAGATCAAAATATTAAAAGACCAAAATTTTTTATAACATGAATAACTTACTAGACTGCAATACAGCTTGGCGACATACAAGACTATAACAACCTTGAACACTGTCGTTTTCTGAGATGATCGGTAACGGCATCATACCCATCCTACATGTGGGAGAATAACATTTCTTCAAAAGTTCTTTTTGCCACTTCCTGAGATTAGCTTTATTGCAGGCGTTATAATTACGCTTGAAAATTCATATTCCAATATTTCATCACATCTAATACTCTGCATTTAAGATGCAAAGAATTCACATGTATGACATGTACAAAACAATCCAAACTGAATTTATTTCGAAGCAAATTTACCGCTCTTCGCCTTTCAATTCTGCAGTTCTCCATTCATTTAGACGTCCAACAAACTTCTCCAGACGAATTGCTTTTCTATTTGCTAGTGTAGTGGGCTGGAAATTTTTAAGTCATATAATGTGTCAGAACAGATCAAAATGAATGTATTAATCTCAATATAAACTGTTTTAGTTTCTTCATTCAGCAATAAAATTAAAAATGACATAGTAAAAGGAAACATGAAATCATTTCGCCATTCCGTACTACTTATTCTTAGCAGTGAGACCTTAGAAGTGAAGGATGGTTTAACATGCATTCCTCATTGCAGAAAAGTCTTTGCTAACAAATGATAATGTCACAGACAATTCAAAAAACTCGAACAGTACATGAAATTAACTAAACACTATGCAAAACAGCGTACTTCTAAATTTCCACCAATATCCGGTTTTTCGGCTCGAGGAACGAATGTGCGATGAAATGTTTTAGATTTCCACAGCCAACCACCAAGAGCACCGCGACCATTCACTCGATAACCTTCATCATTCTGTCGCCATAAAGTTCTTTTAAGTATTGAACCAACCTTAAGATGTTTCACCCAAATTACTTCGTCATCATCTGGTTCTGCTGCCCAAAGCTCCTGCAAAAAATTTCCCATCTTTTTTAATCAGTTGAATTTGATGCGCAAAGTCACTGACCATCCTTCCTTCTTATTACTCTAAAATTTTCCCATAAGCTACTAAAACATGATACAAAACCATGCAAATGATTAATGGAGATCATTTTTTAAAGATTATTACCGTTTTCATTAAAACGCTACTGTGATACATAGAAGATAAGTGCTCAAGAGCAAGTACATCAAACAATGATATCATTAATGATTATAATGCATTTATTTTTGAAGTGACTAAAAACGCGTTACCCTTTCCTGCTTCTTTTTTTTTGTCTCGTAACGCTGACGTCGCTCACGATCTTCCACTGTTATACGTATCAGCCGAGTATGCCCTAATGTATTCCACCACACACTATGAAGAACTGGTCGTCGAATCGCACATTCAAAACGCAATAATAAGTCTTTCAGCAATTCAACTGTTGGTGGAGCATTCATTCCCTGCAAGAACTTATAAATTGGACGAAATTTATATGGATACACAATGTGCATGAACAACCCATACAAAATCGAATGAAAAGTGACACCAATACATTCAATTCAACATCCATTGGTTTTTCGAAATCTTCTGGAATTTGAAGGGTCCAAAAAAATGACTGATTGCTTTTTTAACAAATCACCTTTTTAAAATAATCCAAGCCATCCCGTTTCCATAAACGATGCATTAAAACTGACGGTATTTTTTGAGCAAAACTTTCCATAGAACTTTGTATTATTTTTCCAATCTGAATTGGTGTTCCAGAGAGAGTACGCCCCTTCGTTACTGTCCACTGAAATTTCGTAATTCTTTTTCAACATTCATTTTCCTCAGGTAATTTGTACTTCATCTTCCGTTATAATCATAATAATCATAAGTTTCGAATTATACCTCGAATTCCCCTTCGTCCATAAGCGAAAATCTTCCTGACATATACTTTTTTCTGTCTCTTTCTTTAGCTCTTTGAATTGGATTTTTGGCATATTCATTCATGCTATACTGATTTACATAACGTGCCAAGGTATCACCCTCTCCAAGCCTAAACCCAAGATCCATAGAATGGACTTCCTCAGTACCGCCGCTGACTGAAGCTGTATGGAAAGTTGCTTCGATTACTTCTTTTTTCGTAATCACTTCATGAGCTGGAAATAAATTTTATAAACAATCTAAGTATAATTATCGTTTTTTTTTTTTTTTTATTCAGTAAATCAGAATAAAATAGCATACACTTACTTTGCATACCAGCTGTCCAAAACGTATTCTTCAAGCAGTTCCCTGTAAATCCCAACAATTCTTCTGCTTTGTAGAGTAAAAGATACTTGCTCACTTCAACGTGTTTCGCGCAACCAATTGCAATCACTATCCGCTCATCATCACTTTCTTGTAATTGACTAAACAATGGTTTTGCCAAAATATCACCCATTCTCATAACTGAAAAAAGATTACTTGCCCTTAAATCCAAGTTGAAATTTTTGCAGGTCTTCTGAAATACTCTGCTACAATAAGCTGTCATAGTCTACAACCAGGATATTTAGGACTTTCGAATCCGTAATTTCACTAACGATTTCTAAAGACTTTTTTTTTCTAAGAGCTTCGATAACTTCATTTTTCATATGGTTGTTTTAATTTAAACCAACCGTTGTCAGCATGTAAATACAAATCAGTTTTATTTCTAGTTCTTGCGCTTCGTCCATAGTCATCAGTTAGCTGTAGCGTCATTCGCATATGTTCTTCAATGAGGGGAAGAAGATCCATAAAAACGGCTGCCAGACGTTTTTCATATTCATTCACCAAAAACATATTCAGTAAGAAATAGAGTTGAGGAAGGGTACTGTAGTAATGCACAGAACCGTCGGTATCGTCCTGCACAAATATGCGTCTCACCATAAACCAATAAAGACGACCATGACGATCCCGACCCAAAGGTTTAAAACGCATTGGCATACGCGACGATCGGTGACCTGGGACTTGACAGTCTGTTACGCCGCGTACCTAAAATGCCAACCTAAGCTACAACTGAAAATGCGATCAAGAAGAATTGGTAAATCAATGCTATATTCCTCCTACTAGCGACACGACTCCGTGATTACACATCAATCTCCCATATAAATTGGAAAAAATTGAAATTAATCCTACCTTATGTAATTCACACACTTGACATAACCACTTTCCATCCGGTATGTCGGCCAAACCTGTGCATGACAAGTGATAACATGCTTCACAACCGTCACAGAGTAAAACATCGCCTGGTTTTCCACATTCACGACAATGCTCATCTACTGTTAACTTCCCGTCATTTCTCATAATATTTCGGTATTCGCTAGTTTGAAAGAAACGATCACAAAGCCATAAAAGAACTATAAGTCGCTGTTCCACATCAACAAATGGATAATTTCCACTTGCCGCTTCAAGAACCTTTGCGGGGAAACGATGTGGATCGCTTTCCAAATACTGTCGAAGTACCTGAAGCAAACAAATATATACTTAACATATTCAATTTTTTATTTCAGTTCTGAGCTCAACAATCCAAAATTGATTTGTTCCCTTTAAGAGAAATCTTTCTTTTTAGCACTGAAAAAAATCTTCTGATTGTCCGTTTACCATGTAGATATCTTTTCTCATAAAGCTTTTTTTTTTTTCTACACTTACCTCAGCATATGTCATTGGTTCAAGCAGTTGAAGCATGATATTGAAACTATTGTTTGTATCCTGTACTGATAATATGATTTGCTCATCATCATCATCTTTTAATGACAGTTTCAACAGCGCAATATGTATTTCAGCTAAGAGGTTTGTTTGACTTTCGGTACTTAGAGCGGCGCAAAAATCTTCGAAGAGAAATGGAGAAAGCCGAATTGCTTGGTAGTACCAACGACATGTTTCATAAACCTGCAAAGTTTTCTTCAGAAACAAGAAAACAAGTGAATTCGAAGTCATATATCTGCAGTGAAAAGCGTGCCCAAGTGATTTCCTGATCTAACTTGAGTTTTCTAACAAATCGGTCATCAGCTCATGAAAATGGCCTTCAGTCGTCAATGATGATGAATTATGAAATATACTAAAACTATTACAACACTTGCAATTAACAGCATTATTTTTCCGAAATGATTCAGTACCTCAAGAGCATCAAATAAATATTTTTCATCGATCAATAAATCTTGGCTTCCTTTCGGTAATTTCAGTATTGGTAGCTGTCCTGCCGGAATTTCAAGCCACGGACATTCTGGAAATTTACGTTACAGAATAAATGCCAAAGAAATGAAAGCAGGGAAGAAAAAATCCAATGAGACCACAAAACTTCTCCAGAACTGTATTACCATAAACAAAAAACCAACAGATTAAGAAAATCATTGTTTAAGACATTCCTAATAAGGCGTGACTCAATCATTTAGCATCATGTCCTTCAAAACACACCAACAGATTCATCCGTCTCATAAAGCGATGCTCCAGGTGTTGGAACTCGACTCGCCACGGATGACGTCTCTTCTATCTCTTCATCCTCTGCTTCGTCTTCGAAAGTCATTGCTGCAGAATCTGTAAAGGATTTCCTGGTTGCAAAAAGGATATAGAAGTACTAAAGATAAATATGAAAAAATCATGACAATCTGAAATATCTAGGATCACCACAGTCTTCCCACACGAAATGAAATAAACCGGGCTAGCGTTCTTATATCTTTTGCATTTTCAGACGAAATGTAGAATTGAAATTCCAATACAACAGCTAACTTATTCGGGCAGTGGAAGTATCACTATCGAAATCACCCGTTGAATCGGTGTAGTAGTCAGGCCTATCATATTCTTCGTCGCTTTCATCCCATACTTGCCGACTTCTGAAATACAATAAATCAAGTTCTATGCTTCATCTAAATGCAATACATGAATGATTGCATTGTATACATTGCAGACGCCCCAAAAACAGTTTTTTAAGAAGTCAAATCATTTAATAACCGATATGTGAATTGGGTGGTATTTCAGTCGAGGTGGTATTTCAGCATATCAAACAGATATGCTTTTTCTTTTTTTACACAGAAATTTTAATATTTGGAATTTTCTAGTATTCAAAAGTCTCACTCCGAATTTTGCCATTAAACTTTAACGAAGATTTCAGAAGTCACGATAAAAGAAAATATGTAAATGAGCGACAACAATCTATAAGCCACGGAACTGCTTCGATTACTTTATTAGACAAGTGATAACTGAAAAAGGAAGAAAACAATCGTCTCAAAAAGGTTGAATCAGTATTGCAGCCATATAGCCACTGCATTAAAACAAAAACTAAGACCACCCGATAGCTGAATAGATTTCGCACTCATTCGAACTACACGGAAGTATTACTCCCTGGATTTTGAAGTTTTCGTGGATTTTGATTTCGTCCAACTACCAGCCTGTCTTGCACGTTTTCGATTACGACCAGAGCACGATGGTGACGATTTAACTGATGCTTTCCCAGCTGAAATTCGAACACGACCTCGAGGTCTTCCACGAGGCATTTCTTTTAGTCCGAAAATATTCCTTTACAACTTATCCCAAATTGTTGCACAATTAATGCCTGTATATCACGTAAAGTGCTGAAATAATGCAGGCTGGAATTATGTGACAGGCTTCAGAATGGATGTAGATTCACGACACTATTCTTAGCGGTCTCACGTGAACGCGTAGTGTCGCCACGTACGCCATAACTTTATGCGTCCTCTGTGCAACAATAAATTTCCCATACTTGGTTAGTAACCATGAACGAGTGAAGGGAAGAGAAAGTTACCCGATGAAGGAGGAAACTACTTTTGGGTAGGAAATCTACCCTACTCATATCTTCGTTGTATAATAGGAAACTTTCAAAAAGGTGCCACGAAACCGCAGCACAAGCGTATAACAAAATTGCAAGCATATGGTACATTGTAATAGTGGATGAAATAATGCGTGCAGATCGACACGACATAGTTCGGAGATCATATAATGTTCTTTCCGTATGCAAATGCACGCCGCGTGTGCAAAAAAAATGCAGGTTAATAATATAAGGAGAGATTTTGTCCAGGAATGTTTTGATTGGATAGATACTTGGAGAGGCTTAGGTCTTGATGGTAGCTGGGAAATCTCGGGAAAATTCCGGGCAGAGATTACTAACATCAAGATGCATGATCGACTTGGGAAAGATGTCTCCATCACCCACACCCAGCACATACACACAGTCGGAATGCTCCCTGGCCGACTGTGCACATTTCGAAACCGCACGCAGCACTCAAACTAATCGATATATGTGTGTATGTATGTGTTGTGAGTGCAATGCGTACGCGTTCACACAGCGATATTTCATCGTGAAAGGCTTTCACGCATCCAGAAATATTCATACCGGATTACCTGAAATCTATTAAGCCAAATCGGAATCCCGGGCATTGAAACAAACCCTCCCCATCGTCATTTATGTAAAAACTTTGCCAGGATTACGATCTTTTTCGTTGTGAGACCATAGTAAAATAGAACTGCGGCGCTAATTTTAAATATAAATTCTCGTCAGCTCCTATAAATCTCGGTGTTGGTTTCGATTTACGGAATAGTCAGGTAATTGGTCTTTAAATATTTAAATCAGAGGAGTCGGATGTCAAATTTGGTCCGGCAAATGTGTGAAACATTTTCTAATCGTTTTCCCGATCAGAGTTACAATCTTTGCAGACGATATATTTTAGTTCCAGAAAATCCTGGGGCAAAATTCAAATTTCAGTTTTAATTTTCATCGATTTCGCTTACTTTCAGGAGTAACTTGTAAATTCGTTTCGGGTAGAATGAAGCTTTCTAAGGCATTTCATCCAAAGAATCGGGTAGGGCTGGAAATTATACCAAGACTAGATTTCTTCAATGTGAGGGTATATTGTATATTGAAGTATTAAAATTGAATGAACTGATCGAAAATAACTCATATTACTATTTCATCTTAGTTAATATGTAATAAATTAATTGTGAAGTAGAAAACGACATATTTTACTTTACGGTATTCCTTGAAGGAAGTGCTATGGCTGGAGAAGTAAGTGAACTAATGGAACTGTTGAATTGTATCAGACAATTTGAAATGGACATCAAAAGTGAGAACGATGAAGTAGGTCTTTATGTGCATAATAATTTGTCGCTTAAAAATAAAAATTTGACTAAAATTGCGTGCAATTGCACATCAAAACTTGTACTTGTTACTAGACGGATTACATATGCTCTCATACGTATTTCGTATTGTTCTGCAGGTAGTTACTACTACACGTATCATATATTTTCCTTCGTGTATTAAACACTGAAATGGTGTAAAGCACCAGCATTTTGTCAGTTTTGTTATTATTCTTTTTCATTTGGACTGATGGACTGTGATAATTTGAAATGTTGTAGTTAAATCACTTGCTACAACTGTTTTATTCCAAACAACGTTTGTTCCCGACAGAAATAATTATATGGTTGTTTGCAAGCATTGTTCAGATTTGAAGGACCCGAAATTATAATTTTGTTTTTCTTGGCATTTACTTTCACTCCACTTAGTTTTTTTTAGGCCGAGAATTGGCGACAGTGTATTCTTATTAACGAGCAAAGAATAAAGAAGTTTGCAAAAGTTAAGCAGGAACTGCAGAGTGTATTGAGAAGTGTGTTTGATAATTTGAATGATCTCAAGTCATATTCATTTTTTAATTTTACAGAATCAAAAAAAAAGATTATTACTCAAGTTGTTATTGTTTTTTCTCCTTCTTTCGATTTTGCAGAGGCAAATTAATTAAGTGCATGAATTTCGAGTTTTCTTTTTCGCTCCTCATTTTTCAAAATCTTTAGATTCCCAACAGGAAGTGTCACGAATGCGCGAGAAGGTCCGAAAAGCCAAAAAAGACTTCGATTACTGCGGCAAGCAAGTAGCAGAGTACACCGCTGCAATTGAAGCTACTCAATGTGAACATCATGAATTGAAGCGCGAAAGCGAAGGTTATTCTATGTGTATTATTCCAATTTTCCAAAATCTTATAAATTTAAATTTAAAGATGCTCAAGTTGCAGATCTGAATGCAAGACTTTCTGTGGTGAAGGGAAATATCCTAGAAAGTATTTTAAAAACCCAAATTCAAATTTATAAACAAACTCAAGAAGAAAAAAAAAGGTAGGATTTTTTTCTTATCTCACTTTTTAACTATTTCTGGTCAAAAATTTTTGCAACAGTCTTTGGGAAGAGCTTTAATTAATTTCAGATGAAATTTCAGTTTATCGTTTCTCCCTTTCCATTGCAGACTCGTTGTGGATGTCTCATTGTGATATCACACAATATTGAGATAGTTTTTCCTGTTCAATCCCTCTAAATGGTTCGGAATTGGACTTCTTCCCCAAATTGGATGCATGGTTGTATTCGTGGTTTAGTCATTGGAAGATTTTGAAGAAATTTCAACATTTTACGACCAAATTTTTTTAATACTTGCAGTACTTTGATTTTAGAATCGATGCCAAGTTAGGACTACTCGGTGGTATCGACAATGGGCCGTGTCACGAAGATGTATCAACCGCTCAAATGCATAGTGACATGTTAACTTCATCTCCTAATCCGTCTCTTGAGAGGTGTTCTCAAAGCCCATAAATTCCGTTCTTTTCAGGTGCGCATATATTCACGAATTTTATTTCTGCAAGTTCTTTAATGTTTTTGAAAATAACTTCCTTTTAAAAAGATTTTTACAGCTATCTGCTTAGTTTGAAATGCTAACCTTGTAAAGCTTTGCTATGTTAAGATTATTTTAGGCTGAATATAACATGATATTAGGATTCAATATCACGATAGCACTTAATGTTTATAAGGTCGGCATTTTAAACCAAGTAGATCATTATAAAAATCTATTCGAAAGAAAGTTAGTTTCCAGGACATTAAAGAACTTGCAGAAATAAAATTCATGAATACATGCGCACCTGAAAAGAATGGATGGACTTTGAGAACATCTATCAACTTAATTTGGTAATTAACAAAGGCACTTAATTCCGGTAAATTGCACTTATGAATCCTAAGTTATTTGAAGGCCCACATGCTTCGCATTGAGATTTATTACCAAATTAAATGCCCTTAATTAATTTACTATCTGTGTAGAAAAATCTACCTTCTGTTAAGGATATATTAGTTTCTTTATTTTCAGTTCATCAAGATATTTAGACTGCCACCATAATAACTGATCATGATTAAAGACTGATATCTTTCCACAATAATATTATATTCACAACTAAAGATGTAGATCATTTCTGTGTGTGATGTTCTTGAGTGTTATTGATTTATATAGCGTTCTTTGATGCCATTTTTCGTTCCAGTCTTTATCCAAACTACGGCGTTGTGTGAAAATATGAGTTAATTAAGATCTTGGTTCGTTCGACTTTCAGATATCTCATTGTTTTTTTCTTTCATTATAAAAAGTACAAAAATTACTTATTATTCACGTTTGTGAATAATTTTTTTATTACTTTAGCAAGACATTCTTTCTAGCTCTTGAAATTTTCTTGATTGTTTCCATATATTAGCTTTATTTTATTAATAATTTTATTCCTACTGCTTATTCAGCTTTTATTCAGCTGTCAATTTTATAGATTATTTGTGATGAATAACAAAAAATAATTTCGATATTTAGTGGAAGCTAGCAATTGCAAGGAAATTTTGGATGATTGCTTACTAATTGTGAAGTATTGAACTGTATTCGAATGAATGAGTAATTTTGCTGATGAATTAGGAGTGTTGATTTTGCAAAATCATCACTACTAACACTGAAAGGATAAATATTTTATGTTTTGAGGTTACTGACCCTTTTGAAAAGTTACTGCAGTCTTTTAGTCGAAAGAAAATAAGGTCGGAAAAGAATAGTGATTCTGGAAGGCATTTTGATTTTGTTTCAAGATGTTATCTATTTTGTTTTGAGAAAATTGATTCAGCAATCATTTGTTTAGAGAAATTTATATATTAATCATCTGAATTTTTTATTCGAAATGGTATTGTTTATTTCAGTAATAATTTCTTAATAAACCCATTATAATGCATAATTAATAGACCCTCTTCTCAATGGCTAATTATTTTCATCATTCCTCCTAAATTATCAATGTTTTACCAGCGAGAGGTGAAGTAAAAGTACAATGTCTTCTTAATCTACATTTAAGATTAACAGGACGTAACAGAATTGCTCTCTAAATGGCCTTTTAAGACTTTTACTGAGCTTTGTTTTCATCGGATATATACTCTATTTTAGTCAACCATTGGAAAACTAAAAACATATTCTATTTCAAGTAAAAGAAATTTCATATTGTCCGTTCCAAATGTCAACCATCATATATTCCGTGATTATTGGTATAAAAACTTGGTTAAATATTGATTTGAGGAACTTTATAATTATAAAATTAATGGCCTTCGGGGATTTTAAATAAGTCCTTTAAATACTTTCCTTCTATTTTTTTGGGGTATTTTCCTCGACAGTTAATTATTTCATTACTGATTTCTCCGTTATTTATGTTTTCTGCCTTTCGTTTTTTCTCATTTTTAAAATAAGCGTGAATTTTCCAGTTCTTGAATCCGATTTATGAAACGAAGATATACTTTTTGTTCACTTCTAATCTCATCAAGTTTTGTTTCATATTGGGAAAATTTATTATAAAATTAATAGCTTTCGATTTTCACCTTTTTTAATTATTTGGGATTTTTCGATGTTAGGGATTTTTTGGCATTTAATGCTTTAATTTTGAGAGATTTGCTATTTCAGTGGTAGCATTTAAAATTCCAAATTTCGAAAAATTCAATAATTGTTAATTTCAAATTCGGTACTACTGTACTATTTATTTATATCATCACTTCCTGTAAATGAACAAAGTACATGCTCATTTCAAAAGAAACTTCCATTTATTAAATAGAGAGAAGAAATGTGTAAAAGAAAGTATGCACGAAATGGTTGCCTATTAAAATAAGACTTATAATAAACAATAGTTGGGAAGAAATTATAGTTTGGAAAAAATGACCAAAATATTTAAATTCGAATTTATGTGAAATGTTGTTAATATTAAATCTGAAGAAATTTTTATTTTCATATCTCTTTCTCTTCCTCACTCTCTTTCTCAGATTTCGAAAACTTTATTTTATTTTCATCAAAATAAACAGACATACAATAAGTGACAAACATATCAATCAGCCTGTAATATTTGCCGTTTATTTCATCGTTGACAGATATTACAAATGAGCTTTATTATTATTTTTTTATTCCTTTTTTCCTTCCTTTCTTCTTCCTCTCATTTCATTAGCTATCATATCATATCATATCACAATAATCTTTTGGTCTTTTCAATGTTTAATGTTTTTCCATTATCTTAATTGTTATTATTAATAATATTGTTTCAGTTGAACTTTGTAAACAATCTAATAAATTTTAATGTTTTTAATAAATAAGCTTAATAATGGTATATGTAAACTTAACTAAAACTTAATAATTTAATAAACTTTAATAATGGTTAACAAAATCTTAACAAACTTATTGGCATTTTATTTCGTTCGTAGTTAAACAACAATAAATAGTGAACGTTTTTTAAAGTGATTGATTTGTACTATGTGATGAAAGATATTTATAAGAAGGATTTGTATGTTTGAAATATTACACTTCTTTCACTTTTTTTTGAAGAGGAAACTGCTTGGAAATGTTTTACGAAATTTTCATAAAATATATTTACATTTTAATTTGGATTTTATTATTATTATCATAAGATAGAGAAATACCATAATATCTTATGGGAATTTCAATCATTATTATAAAATTCAAATCATATAATTTAATTATAAAGCTATTTGTGAAATTGGAATTGAAATTAAAGTTGGAATGAAAGATTTTACAATTTCAAAAGTTATTTGTAAGATTGAAATGAAATGAAACTTTATAGCTTCCAATATTGTCCTGTATTTTGCGATGAAAATTGTGGAAATAATGAATGCTTCTTCACTTCCTGTACTTCTTAATGATTTTTAATTGTATCATTTCATCGTTGAATTTCTTTCCATACCATTTAATCATTCACTAATTATTCTTTAACTCTCAGATATTACAATTAAAATTCAAAATGTTACTTTATATTGATGAACGACAATATCGATAATTGCCTTTTATTGAAAAATACCGCATGAAATGAATTTTGTTCGAACAACGACTATTTACTTTATCATCAGTATTAATTATTTGCTGAAGTGGGCTTTCATTTCCGGGGTTGTGTCAATAAGACAATGGGTAACGATATTACGGTACCATTCAACCGGAAAGGAAAATGTATTTTCAATTGTCCTTGTCCTTTTTATCATTTTACTATTTTATCTTCTCTCACCCATTTCTTTTCTGTTTAACAGCACTTATCAAATGGATATTTGTCCATTCGAAATCTATTTATATTAACTTTTACTATACTCCATTTTAATTTTTGAGAACAAAAATTTTTTAATAACCTTTCTATTCATTTATGATTATATCCCTCAATCTGTTGCATGTCTTTAAACGATCGGATACTGCTGTAAGATATTAATATTTATGGACGTTTCTTTAAAATTAAAAAAAATTGTTACCATCGAAAACCTAAATATTTTGAAAAAAAAGTAACTGATTGGCTAATTTGTTATTTTATAATTTATTTAATTAAAAAATTTAGCTATTCTTTGTTGTAGTCTTTTTTTAAATTCAAATTACTTCATGAATTTTCTGATTAAAATTAAGGTATAATTGCTATCTACTCCCAATAAAATAATGTAAAAAAATCTGATGAATTTATAATATATTAAAAGTTTAATATGCGAGTTTAACAAGGCAATGAAATGTCCACAAGTAATCGATAGATAATTAGCTAGTTGCAATAATAAAAGATAAATGTAAAATGTTTTTTCATAAAAGAAATAAGTATATTTGCTTAATTTAAAAAGGTCATATTTTCAATTTTCTTATGGCATTTGTTTATTTATTTATTTTTATAAATTGTTGGATTATTTTCGGACTCTTTACTTAATATATTTAGTCAAAATTGATAATAGAACAATCGAATGACCATCATATGGTACCATGTTATGCATTTAAACTTTTAAATTTTATACCAAAGTTTACAGGATGTTCATAAAATTTCGTTGATAGTTACAAATTCACCTTTGTTCTATTTTGTACTTTGATGTTAAAGTAAGGAACCTGTTTGCATGATTTCTATAACTTTGCTATACATCTTAATGGTACTTATGCACCCCGTAATTTAATTATACAATACTTCCTTATTAATTATACAATAATTAAAATACTTCCTCCTAATTATCACTCCTTCATATCAGTTTTAGTGCATCAGTAACCTTCTTACTGGTAAATTTTCATTTATTGCAACTCTCTATGATAGTATTACTTTCATTTCGTCTAATTCCTTCTTAAAGCAATGGAAATCCTCAATAAAATTTGTCTCAATAATTACTACTAAATAGAAATATTATAACAGCTATCATATACCTTACAAAACTATTATCATTCATTTCATTTTATAAATATATATTTAATTATTAGTAATAATAGTAATTTTCAAATTAATTAATTAATATGACGAAGTAAAATTTGCTGCTACCGTAAAGTTTTATCCTCTTTAAATAAATCATTTGAAAATTTTTAGAACTCAAAAATAACAGTATTAATGTGTGATTTTAATTTCTTTCTCTTTAAACATTGTTAGTCTAAAGATAATTAAACTTCAAAGATTTTTTTGAATTTTAAAATTAACAGAATTAAGGAACTTTTTTCTTTTGGAAAAGTAAAAAATAAAATGTTTTGAGTATCGGATATGATTAGTTTATAAAATATAAAATTGTTGCACAAATTTACTTTACCTTTACCATTTACCTTTATATTACACAATAATCAATCATTCATTCGTCTATCCAATAATGCAAACAAACATCTTCATTCGGCTGCCAGAAAGTCTTATCGCTATCATTTATTAGTTAAAGAAAAGAGGCTATTCATTAATCTTTGTTGCCCTTTTTTCTTTCTTTCTCCCTTCTCTCTTTCTCAATCTCTTTTTCCATGCATATAATATATAGAAGATTAATTGTTTTAGCAAATAATTTTTAATTTATGTTTTCATTTGTCATTTAAAAGTAATTTTGCTTTCTTTTTTTTAAAATGTATTACTCAAATTTGATTAATTAATTATTCCATAATTATTTTAATAAATAATTTGGTATTTGTGATAACTTTCATTGATAACTTTGTGCTTTTTTGATAAGTTTATTTACCAATACATATAACTTTTACTATTAAAACGATTTATAAATTTGAATTATTTCACAAAAAAATGAAAAATTTTTAATTCAAAAGAGATGACAAAATTTCTGATTTTCTTAAGACTTAACCTTAATAAGTTTATTTTTGAAATGAATGAAAGAAAAGAGAAATAAGAAAATGGTTCCATCCACTATTTTACCTTTACTTTTTCTATTCCTAAAATTTAGTCAATGAAAAATATTTCAAATAATCTATCAGAAGATGGATCGGATGAAAAACTACCCAATGTTTGAAAAATCGATCATTTTTCTCTCAACGTTATTTTCAAAGAAACATATTTAAACACTAAATTACATTTTTAAATTTTAAAAATTTCAAAATCAAAAATCTCAAAAAAAAATTTAATTATGAAAAAAATAAATAAGATAATTTCATGGAAAATGATGGATTTCCTTTGTGTGAAAATTAAGAAATTTATTTCTCCTTCAATTAATAAAATCGGTTGTCATTTATTTTTCCTTCCATTCATTTCTTTTATTTTATTTATTCTAATAAATTTTATCTTTTTATTTACACAAGAATAAATGCTTTTAAACTATATCAACGGATACTGTCAACAAATATATACATCAGAAAGTGATTATTATCAGTAATTAATTAGGTCAAATTACTTACTTACATTTGCTCACTTTCTCTTATTAATAATATTATTGAATAATAAGCTCAAATACCACAATAGTAAGTATATATTTTGTAAACGATACTTATTTAAAATAATTTTAAACTTTAAAATTTTCAATAAAGCATTCTCTCCTTTTCATCTTTTTTTTCAAATAAAAAAGTTATATTTAATATATAGCAACTCTAAATTAAACAACTCATTAATTATACGACTGGTGCCACCTGTTACGAACTATCTTTGTTCCAATACAAACAGTTAGTTACTCTAAGAAATTCCCTCTTTTACTTTACTTTCTGTTTCTATTCCTCTTTTTTCATTTCTTTTAGTCTTTTTAAACTTTCCTTTTTGATGACAAAACTTTTGAAAATTTTTCACAGTACTATAATGATATCTGATAATTCTTCATTGATCGAATTTAACACGATAATATATGATTGATTATTTAATTAACTATCCGATTATTTGCCATTTTTTTCTAAGGCTATTTAGTGGGAGTTAGTTTTAGACTGCAATATGTTAGGATGATAAATCGATAAGATAAGGCAGGCGTTTCATTAGAGGTTTATATAAGCCTAAAAATGAACATTAAGTGTATTTTCATAATTTCTATTCGCTCAAAATAGTCAAAGTTGGTTTATTTTTGAAAATTATCATAATGTGATACAAGTTTTTCAGTCATCTAAATTTAAACAAACATAAATTGAATTTTTTGACTATGAAAAAAAAACGTCTGGAAATATTTGGATTTAATTAATGACAGATGTGCTTTCGTTTTAATGATTGTATAAATCTCGTAATTACCAGCAAAAATTAATCATTAACGATTTCTTCTAGTGCATCCTTTATTTTAATCAGTTCATTAATCCATTCCCTTATTTATATCACTCATTCATTTATAAATGTTTTTACGCAAAATTAATTTACAAATTTTCATTTGAAGAATTACACGTCTTAACTTTATTAGACAAATATGTTATCAAATTCTTATTTTTTATCAGTATTTCATTGATATCAAATGATCACTTTGGTGATGACATTAAAAAAATTCAACTTTTTCAATATTAATGAATGAAAAGAAAAAACTTTCTTCCTTTTCTATCATATCATATCACATCACTTTTATCATACTCGCTCATATCATTGTATCATTTTGATTATTGTAACAGTCTGTATGATATGATACTTTATCAGAACCATTTCACTTCTTTAATATTTCATTTATACCTTTAGCTTCTGTGAAAAATTGGCTGCTTATTTATAATTTAGTATAAATTAAATTTATTTTATTTATAAAATAAATTGAATTTATACTAAATTATATCATTCAGTATAATTTGAAATATATATGCTTATAATAAAAAATTATCATTATTTTTCCTAATAATTAATTTTATTTATAGATTGAAATGAGTACGGTAATGCTAATAACGACAAACGGAATGTTAACATCTATAGTTTTACAAATTTCTTCAATATATTTTACAGTGGCAGCACCTGTATGCTACAATTGTGATTCGAGCTGTAATGACACTGTCACGTAAGAAATTTTGCTTGTAATAACACTGTCACGTAAAGAATTTTACTTATAATGACACTTTCACATAAATTACTATTTTAGCTCTAACGGAAGTAATTAATATTGTTAATTAGCCTTTTCCTTTTTTAATGTAAATGATAAAACTTATATTTATTTGATCATTTAAAAAAATAAAATTCGTTCTTAGTAGAAAAACAAATTAATTTTTTGCTATATAAATGCCATATTCATGACAGTCGTCATTGCAGAAAGTTAAAATTGAAGAAAAATCATTTATGAATGAAAGCATTTAATCAAATGGAAAATATTATAAATTATTATTATTATTATATATAAATATAAAATGAAAGAGAGAGAGGGAGAGAGAGAGAGTGTGATATGGTAGTAAAAAAAACATAAAATCGAATTTAAAATATTATTGCCAGTCACAATTGCAAAATTGGTTTTCCTTTTTTTAGTTAAAATTTATAAATTATCGAAATGTTTTATATTTTAACTATATGTGTGTGTTTCAATAAAATGATTGAAATTTAATAAATTTTGCAAATTACTTTCAACCGTTATGAAAACTTTCAGTAAATTATATGAATTTGTTTATAACAGAAAAGAGAAAGGAAATAAAACATTTGTGATATTTATGGCAATAAATTTTATATTACACAGACATTAAAGAAAAACAAAAGAAAATATTCAATTTATTATTAATGTGAAATAAATAAGTGAAAATGTAAAATAAATTAATGTAAAATAAAAAATAAGTAAATATATAATTAATAGAAATTATAATTATTATTTGTTTAGATAAAGACAAATATTTCCCTTTTTTCTTTTAGTTTCAATGATGACAATATCAGTAATTTTGAATCGATTAATTCAAATCGAATAAGGCGAACAACAATTGAACAACGTAGCTGTCATAAATTCCAACTTGAATTGGTTTAAACTTTTTATTTCTTATTTTTATTCTAAAATGAATATATTTTAAATTTGCGAATCATTTCAATAAAATTTTTGATTTTTTTTTGAAAATTAAATTTGAACTTAAAATGATATGGAAGAAAAAAAAGGTGTGAAATTTTATAGATATTGATACCATTATCAATTGCTATGATACCATTTGCATTATGTGCTCTATTACTTTCTGTTTGTTTCTGTGGACCAAAAGAATCTCGAGGTAAAAGATTATAGGCCTATAATTCTTATATTAATGCCTTATTTAATTGCTATTAAAATAAGCCTATATTTATACAATGAAATATTACTTTAAATTTAGCACATTATATCTAAAAATGAATTAAATTCATTTAATTCAAAATGTGTACTAAATTTCCGGTAATTTTCTTTCCCATTCTTTTCTTTTCTTTTACACTTTAAAATCATTAAGCTGGCAATTAAATGAGCACTTGATCGAATAAGATCCAAAAAAGGAAAACGTTGAAAGATTTTTTTACAATTTAATGTTTTTGTTAATTATTTCTAATCAAACAATCTTTCATTTTCTTTTCTTTTTCTCTTAATAATTTTTATTTGTTTTGTTTTTGTTTTTAATTAATTATATTTATTATTCAAAATTTATTTTTTTTCCACAGGTAAAGTACCAGAAATGTTCAAGAAAAATGGTAAAATTAATGCAAAAGATGCGAATGAAATCGATAAGAAAGAATTTACCTGCAAAAATGGTATAATAATGCGAAATGATAGCAAAAAGACTCGTTTTAGTACAACAATTTCTTTTATTGAAGTGAATTGTATCAATGATGAAAAAGTTAGCAAAAATAATCAAACAATAATTCCTAATGCTTTATTATGCGATATATCGGAAGATGAGGAATATGTTGCTGGAAATTATGAAACAATTAGAATGAAAAATAACAATCAAACAACAATTGGAGAAATCTTAATGAATGAGAAGAAATTAGAAAATACAAAAGGTTACATTTAAAATAAATTTAAATTCAAATTTGCAATGTCTTTTTTCTTTCTTCTTTCTTTTCTATTCTTTTCTTTTTTTCAACTTGAAATATTTTATTTTAAATTTTACACTATTAATAAAAGTTCTACTGAAATATTTTAAATGTCATAAAATATGAATCTTCGAAAAGATTCCTAGAAAGAGTGAAAGAGAGAGAGAGAGAAATAATAGTAAATTTTAATTGATGCATATTATTTGCATCAAATGATCCTTTGAAAGTGAATGTGGTGGTTATTACTAATTTCTATCACTGTAATATCATTTAATTTCAATCCATCCGTTGGTAGCTTATTTTGAAATTCCTTCCATCTTTTCGTTGCTTAAAAAAAGTATTGAATTCGTAAAATTGATGCATAATTTCAATTTAAATTCAAAAACTTTCAGTATTACTCAGTGAAATATTTTCTACTATCATCATTATCATCACCATTAACATTATCATTATTATTATCACTGCATATATAATATTTATTATGCAATGAGGCTTCATTTAAGAATTAAGCACATGTCATATCATCCAGCTAATCATTTAAATCTGCAACATATCTGCCTATGTTAACTTTTTATTTTCAAAGTTTAACAACTCTTTATCTTTTATTTCTTCTTTTTGTTTTGCAGAAAGTAATGCATCCGAAAATGATTGCGCACCACGACGGATTAATTCGAAACATGCTCGATTCTCGGATGATATCGATGAACTAAAGGCGTGAAAAACTTTTTGTTTTCACTATTATTATTATTATTATTATTATTATTATTATTATATTACTATTACTATTCTTATTATTAAAACTAATCAGGTTTTTCCCGGAGATTTACTGAAAATTTTTGAATAAGTGTATTGCACTAGAAGAATTTTGAATTAAATTTTCTTTTAATATAAATAAAACATAGAAATCAAATTGAAATATCTGTTGAATTTGAATTGAAAACTTCAAATTATTAAATAAATTTATGATTGTAATTAGGTTACTTTATAATAAAATCACAAATTTTGCATCAAAGAAAAATATATTATTAGTCATGGATTTATAGCAGTAAAAAGTGCTCGCATTCATTATTTGCCACTCCTATGATTACTGCTAATATTATTATTATTATTATTATCATTATTATCACCACCGTCTTTTTCTCTTCAGCTCCAATATGTCTGAATGTTTTGATCGTGACATTAGAAACATTGAAAATAATTTTTAATAGTCATATTTATCACACGATAGTATCAGCCGATAAAAATTTTGTAATAAAACAATGGCTCAATTTTGCATCCTACAACTACCCTATTTAATTAATTTCGTCTGCTAGTGAGTGAGTTTGCTTGCTCATGCCTATAATTTTTATGAATTATTTTAATGTTTTTTCATATTTGTAATATTTCACTGAAGGTGAAAAAAATTATTGCGGGTTTTTATTATGCAAAAAGCATGCTTAATTTGAAATGAAATATTGTTTTTATTTCATTGTTTTTGTTTGTTTGTTTACTTTTATTCTCTACGGGAAAAGAAATGTATGACACTCTCTCCAACTCTTTCTTTCTTTCTTCTTTCACCAATTTCCGGTTCATTTAATAAAATGGAAAAAATTGTTCCCTATCTAATTTTAGCTAATATTTCTTGCCATCTATACTTTTTTGTTTTTCTCGAAAGTTAATTTTCAGCATCGTTTACAGTCAAATAAAGAAATTTTTCTTTTCTATGAAATTTTAATAAATTGATTTATCATTCTTTTTCTTTTTTGTCGAAAGAAAATCATTTAATACGATAGATGGTATATTCCATGCTGAATACTCCACCGCAACACATTTCGTGTCGTTTTTTGAATTTGTATTTTTTTCTTCAAAGAAAGTTTAAATGTATTCTTTTGCCATAGTACATAGTTTACCAATTCTGATGATTTCATTTTGTTTGAATAAATAAAATTAGAAAGTAGTGTTTCCTTTTTCGTTCAATATATAAAATTATACATGTTGCATCTTTAAACCATCGGATATAGTAATTAATTGCACAAATTTAAAGCGCTACAATTGATTAATCATTCATTACTATTATGTAACACCTAATTATAACACAATTGATATCATGTCTCCAAAACGATTCACAATGATTTTTTTTTTAATATCATGTTTTCAAAACCTCGAATTAATATTCGAGATCAGATATTTTGAATATGATTACATTAATACTTGAAATAAGCACAATGATGAAAACAATTATAACATTCATTTGATCATCTAATTAATAGCAAAAATAATCCTCCTCTCAAAAAAAAGTATAACGAGAAGAAATTCACTTCTCGTCGTAACTGCAGTGTTCTGTTCCAAATTTATAGATGGCAAATTAATCGAATTACGAAAAGCAGTAGTTCTATACTTAATGCATCACAGCATGTCGTCTACACTGTACGAAAAACACTAAAACCGAAATTAATGAAACAATTTCACCATTTAATTTCACAGGAATTATAAAACCAATTTGATGAAAAGGAAAAAAAAATGAAGCAAAGTCCGTTCCCGTTTCAACTATCAATGATCCCGAGAGTAGTAGGCTAGAAGTGAAGACTAAGCTAGAAGTGAAGACTAAAATGTTTCTTCGCTCTATCTTAGGATATCCACATTTGATATACAATCATACTAACAATAATAGATGCACTGACCTAAATACATGGGCATACTGAGTTGAACGAGATAATTTACAATCCAAGATAATGGCCGCAATAAAACTTCGTAAATCAAAATCAGAGGGACGAAAAAAATGGTGATTTGGTTATATAATGAATACCTAAAAGGGAATAAATGTGGCTGCCTATAAAATTTGAAAATCCTACGAATTTTTTCATAAAAATGCATAATTTTCTAAACTACACAATAAAGATGGATACTGAGAACATATTAAATCATAACTTGCTAGTGATAATATAATTAATAAGAAATCTGAAAAGGAAATAAAAGCAGTTAAGTAAACTGAAACAAAAGCAAATGTAATTACACGGTATTACAGAACAAAAGTGAATAAGAAAAACAATTTAAAATATATTCAAAAAACATTTTATTGAATTCGATTTTTTAGGTTTAACAAAATCATTACATGTTTAAATTTTTGAAAGAAAAAGAAAATTTATAGCACATACAGCAAAACAGATCATTCCGTGATCTCTAATCATTTCCGCAGAAAAGGAACAATAAATTAACCTTTATCAGTAAAGTATTGATACTGACCAGGTCGAATACGTAGAGGACGTCGTTCTGGTGACTGTCTATCATTATTAGCATACATATTACGTTCATAATGAATAGCTTCCAGCTGACTGGGTTTTGTCGGAAAACGTGGTTGATCGTGCCACGAGTATCCGCTCATTGTATTAGATGGATAGTGGCGACGGTGATGAAGTTGTAAATCAACATCACGAATGCCATAGTTACTACGATCGGCAGCTGTCCATGTATCATACACTTCTCTCCTAAAATTAAAATATCTTTATCAACAGATATTACAAACACTGAAAAAATTAGATAGTCAAGTTTCTTCCATAATAGCATGAAAAACGAATATAAGAAAACTGTCGAAACTGAATATGTTTTTTGTAAATTCTTATCTACATGTAAATACAAGTTATAATTGAAAACTCAAAAAATACCACTATTCCTTACATTTTGCAATGTCCTACACATCCTCATTTCTTCCTTCTTCCCCGTCCTCCCTATTTAATAATAGCGGAACAGTGATGACAGAACGCCGTCTCTTGATATCATAATGAATGGAATATGACATATTAAAATTATAATGCAATCTATTCATTACTTTACTCGGAATAGATTGTAGCAAAACTACTGCAAGCACCTATATTCGAATACTTTTTATTCCATTCATTCAAGTGCATTAACTGCTTTTCTCATTCATAGAAATTATTTTTCAAAAAATAATTTTGCATAATTCTGAGCAAGCATAATTAATGACGCACTTTATTGGAACATTATAATAATGCCGATGTTGAGGTGATGATGACATACTGCTTCTAGTATCTCCAACTCTCACACAAGTTACATTATTTGGTAATTGAACCACTCGTGTTTCGATCTACAAAAAGCATTCCGGAAATAGAAACATCAACATCAAATCAGCCCTTTCGTCCTCACTCAATCTATATAGATTTAGAAACCTGGAACCCCACCGAAAAAAGCATTGTAACGAAACTAAATGAGTTTTAGCTGTCTCGAACCACCAGATCAATGAAAATTCACATAAGATTAGCCGTGTCCTAATGAACATTTGATTCAAGTTAATTGCATCAATTTTCATTTCAAAATCAGCTAAGACGGATTCTTAACTCCATAATAAAAGGAAAACTATGACTTTATTGTTAAATGCTTAACTTATAACAATAAAAAGTTAATGCAATCTCACCTCAGCAATTCGCCGCTCCGGCTTATTTTCCTGTATCACTGAATTGTTAGGAGTGCGTTTATATCGTCTATCTAGTGAGCTATTCCCAGAACGAATCCCAAAAATCACGTCACCATTGATACGCCTTTCATCACTGGTCAATTTCATTTGTGATAAATCACTCAAACTTGAATTATTTGCTGCAGATGACGGTACATTATCGTAAAAGCTACCACGATGTACAATCTGTATATTTCGTTTCAGAGGAGTGAAATCATCAGGGCTATGGAAGAATGAAGACGTGACATGGGCAGGCGAATCAACTGTTGAAGCCACTGGACGCATGGAACCGGATGAACATCCCTGTTGAACACAAGGGGATGACTTATCATAATCAACGGGTGGCTCCTCAGGTGGAAATTGGTACAGCTGAAATTTTTAACTTGAAAAACTGAAATTAAGAATTTTCTTTGACCATTTGTTAATTAGATTGACTTTAGTAATTCGGTTTTTAAAGCTTTGTTCAAAGCTTACATTTTTCGATATTGCTCTATAGCTGCCATTAACAAGCAAAAAAGGAAGAGATGAAATAGGACTGTGCAGAAACCAGTAGTGTCATTAAAAATAAAAATGACTTTAAGTCATTTAAAAAAAAAATACTAAAAAACAATGCATGAATGATCATTGAATTTTTAAACTTCTAACTTCTTGTTTTCCTATTGCACCAAAATATTGTCCTATTGTTGCTGCACTGCTTGATGGAAATTCTGGTCGTCGCATTTGTTGTTCTGTAGGCAGCGTTGTCGGCCTTTTAGTCAGATGCCTTTGTTGTTGTCGTTGTTGTTGTTGCTGTCCTCTGGATTCAAACTCCTCTAAAAATAAAAAATTGCAAAAAGAAAATGAACACTTTCATAGCAAACAACTACAAAAAATGAGAACATGAAATATCTTACAAAATTTCAAAAGAATATACGATCCCGACATTTTAGACGAATATGAATTCTTTCAAACCAAACTGCTTGACACAGCATTAGTGAATGAGATAATGTAACTTTAATATCAAATAACAATATCATCTAACATATATTACTTTATCTATACTCTAAAAAAGCTAAGACCCTGTTTCAGCGGACTATCAGTGAATGAAAATTAATACCTTCGTTATTTGCATGTGGTAATAATGATATATTTCTTTCCTTCATCGGTATATCGTGTTGTACTTCTTTAATAGTCAATGGTCGCGTAGTTTTCACTTCAATACGTTTCGTAAAAACTGGAGGGCGTTGTTGTTGGATCAATTGTGATAAACTTTCTCGGCTTTCCGGTAGACGTATCGGCAGATTTGTGTTGTTTGTTGTATCAGTGAGAATCTTTGCTGCTTGCTGCTGCTCTCTCGAGCTTGTATCTTTCACAGTACTCGTCGAAGAGATGCTAGATTGGGAATTTTCTGGAACAGTGGGTTCCATATGTCGCGATGGTAATTGTGACAGTCTATAATTTGAGAAAGGTGTTGGAGATAGCGGTAATCGTTGTCGACGTACCCCAATCGGTGATTGTCCAGCGACAGCTGAAAAAAAGTTTTAGAGCAAATTCTAAGTGGGTTGAATCTGAAATAACAGAAAGAGACGGAAGTGAATCAAAAAACTTCTCTAATACTTCAAATTTTTAATCTGAAATTAAAAATTTTTTATGTTCCATAAATTATTTTGATGCTAGGACTTGATTCGATATCTTATTACTTTATCAATACCGAAATCTTACAGTTGGCACGTGAGCAACGGCTCTGTATTTCAGCAATATCCAAACGAATATCAATCATCGAACGACTAAGGACCGGTCCAAATGGTTTCGTCGGTGTTTCAGGTACATCACCGGGTTTCGGTAATGCGGGTAGCAACATACGATCGCTCTAAAACATCGAAGATGCCATAAAACATGTCCAATATAATATCTTTTTACGCCAGCTTCTGTTTTTATGAAAATTTTTTTTCACAAAATTAATGAGCAATTACTTGGAAGATGTAAAAAACACTGTACATTGGAAATTTTTGAGAGGTTTCAAGGTTAAAAAAAAACGAACATGTAACTTCCTGAGACAATCTTGTAATGATTTCATTGTTTCTTCATCAGAGAAACCAAAATCCTGAACAATAACAGTTTGAATATATTCCATAAAATTCTCCATTTGTAATTTTCGCATCGTTTCTGCAACAAGTCACACAATTCTGCAAACTTGGTATACTGTTTCAAATCTAAGTTTCATGGAAGATTCGTCACCTTGTCACTTTTCAATTCCAATTTTTAAATTTGTGATTGGAAAAACATTATAATAAGACATCTATACAAACGCATATATTAATAATACCGAAAAACACTTGATGAAAAGCGGTACTCAATAGAGTTGGATCAAAGATTTGATTAGAGAGTTCTTTTCTTCTTTTTTGCAATTACAGCAAGATTAGTAAAAAAACTAGAAATAAAGGAAGTTAAAATGCTAATGATAATAACTGAACTTACTTTCATGCATTCTCATAATGTTATATGCCATTGCAATCAGTATCACATCTCCTTCCAAAAGAAAAACATCCCATAATCGTAATGCTAATGGAAATGGGACCCGATCCAGGAAACAGCCAAACCACCATTTTGTTACATAAATTGGTGGGATACCAGCATTATCCTGTAAGAAAGGATCGTAGAAATTTTGATGAACGGCTCAAATCGGACAGGGAGTACAATGTTACACCTATATATTTTACACTAAAAATGTTACACTTAATAACCAAATCGAACCAAATATCAATGAAGACAAACACAAAACTAATCACATGGAAGTTCAGAAAAAGTGAGAATTCACAGTGTTATATTAAAGAATGCAGTTGCGAAATACAACTAACTAAATGCTTTTTTAAACGTGGAAGGTATTTTTGTAATATTTTTTCATAATGCGTTTGAAAGCGAACCAATTTTGGAAAGCCAGGAACAAAAAATCCTGCAATTCATTCATTAATTTACTTTATAGTTTCCAATTTTACTCACTGGTGTTTCGTTTTATCTTAAGAAGTGAAATTTTGAGCTTGAATTTGGTGAATTTAAATAGCGCTCGCAATAGCTATGAGATCTTACCGTGCATGGAATGCTTTTTATCAACAAGTAATGCATGTAAGCACCAAAATGCATCCTCTTCATCCATATACATAAGGAAAAGTGCTGCTATTTGACTCATTCCTTGACAGTAACCCACTTCCGTATTGTACATTGCATATGCAGCTAATACATTGAATAAAGATTGCTGCCTGAATATGATGAAGGCAAGGTTCAAAGCTTTCTTGTATTATTTCTAAACGTCACACTTGAAAGATTCAGTAATTTAAAATCAAAACAATAGAATAGTTCCAAAGTCTTCACTTCACGTCGTATCTTCGACGAAATGCCAAATGATCTCGATATGTTCGGTTAATATCCAGATCTATCTGCTTGATATCTTTCGAAATGAGCCGAGCACGCATAAGTAATTCGCGATAAACATTATTTTTCCGCTCCTGTCGATAACGATTAACTTCAAGTAACTTCGTCCATACCTGTAAATCCATGCGAATAACTCATTTCACAAATAAGCCGTAAAATCAAAGAAACTTTGCCAACAGGAAAAATTATGCTTCAACGAACAAGCTTTAATAGTGCTGAAAAATACTGTCCACAATCTTCAGATGCTTTTATTTATGATGTTTGAACAGAAAAATTTTACAAAAAAGATATAATTCCGGAATTGTAATAAGTACCACTCCTTATCTCACTGCTAGTCACATATTTAACTATTTTCATGGGATGAAAATCATTCTTTAAATTCAAATAATGGCAAAAAGGAAATTTTATGCCTACGCTGCACTCAAATTTTGAAACTCAACAACAGCTCAGTTTCCTTTAACAATTTTTGAATATCTTTGTATATTCTACTTCTTAGGTTGCGAAGACAAATTTTAGCGGCACTTTCTAAACACATATCCGAATACTTCATATTTTTAAATTCAGATGGTGAAATTCTCCCCAGAATATACAGTTTGCAGTTGATAATTATGGTATTTTGGCCTTTTTAGTCTACAAAGTAAGTTCCAACAAAAAGTTAAAAAGGCTTACCAACGACCTGAATTTTTCAGGAACACCTTTCCAAAGCCGTTTCTTTAACTTGTCATTAGTGCCTTTTCCATCATTCCATCTTGTTATCATCCGTAGCCATTTCTGTTCACGTGAAATTTCTTTTGTCATTCGTTTCTTTTCCGCTAACTCTTGCACACTGATTTCTTGGACATCCTTGCTAAAATATCAAAAAAAAATTTATGAACTTTCACAACTGGAAGTGAAAAATATTGTCAAATTATTTTTTGTCAAGCAGATATTGAAACTATCGAATTAATCACTAGCAATCTACTAAAACAAGGAAATTCTGAAAGTCAATTGGTAAATGCATACTGCATAAACCCGTATCGATCAGTGACTTTATATAATTCGAGATCGGGATTTTCCCACTCTTCCACCTCCTGTTCGGGTCCCTGAAAAGATCTGCAGCTATCAATTGCGTCTTACTAATGCTGAAGAATGCTGAAGAACGAAAATTCTGATAGCTCACATCAAATTATTACAATGACAATAACCGAAAGAAGTGGAACATTGCACATCATGATAAGACATAAGACATAAGGCTTCTTCACCTCGTACTGTAACATTAAGACCAAATGATTCCAAGTTCCAACAGTTTAACCAAAGAGTAAACAAAACAATCCTTGATTCACGAACAATATTACATTAAAGTCACATATATGGTATTTCTAGCAAGAGCAGGAATATTATACTAGATAATCCATTCATTGTGTTTAGTGATGAGTAAAAACAAAATCTCAAAGTACCTTTTCATATTTTTCAACAATTTGCGAGCGTTCTTCCAATTCCCGAAATTCTGGATCTTCTTCTGATTGATCGCTTGATGTCGCTTCTGTTTCATCATTTATTGTCGCTGGAAAAAAATCAAAACAATATAACAGTTTTAAAATTGGTTCAGATTCAAACCACCGTCACCATATTATTACCTGCAAACAGCAGAAATTCTCAAGAAATATTTTTCGTGAAATCCATAAATACTATCTCATCAATCAAAATATTTTCATATGAAACATCAGTATGCCTAATCACAAAGTTATACTACTACAATGTAAATATAAATCCATAAATCCACTATCATTGAATGATAATTGCAATCAGTTTTATAAGCCATCATTGCATTTGCTAAGTTCTTTTTTTCAATTTAATTAAATATTTTCCTCCTTCTACTGATGTTATTTTGAGATATGAACAAGAATTTTTTTCGACTCTATCGTTGCAATGATTAGATGACTGTCAATACTACATATAAAGTCTGTAATTGAGGGTCAAACGTCACTTTGGTGAAAAAACTTAGCTGAGCCTTCGATATCAAATTCGTTTATTTTATTTCTATTATTTTCTCATACTAACGCCCAGTTGCATAAAAGAGAACAGAAATATGAGGTTAATGCGACCAGAAAGATCTCCGTCGAGTATAGCAGCAAACTATTCCCATTTTATTCTTTAGTTGCTATCATAATGAAAGATAACCATAGAACTATGATGCAAGATGATTTACATCAATCATTCCTATATAATAATTGCAATCGAAAAATTTCTTCAATGAGGTACAACAATTCTAAGCACCGGCTAACGAAGATGACACGATATAATCTAAGCCATGCAATGCCCATTTCAAATTTCAATATAATACCATCTGTAATTGATAATAGGATATTGCAAAAACGATTTCCTTTGTGCAGAAATTGACCAATAATAGACTAGATGGACCTTTTTTCCAAAAAGAGATGTCTTTATGAGTGCAATCCTTCATAATATCTACCAATTATTTCCTTTTTTCTCTGCCCTTTTTTAAATTATCTTACAGGAAATTTCGCAGTGTTCACGAACTGATGGTAATATGAATTTTTCTGAGATGATAATCACCTCGGTCGAAAAAATACAGTTTGCTATTTCCTCGTTGCCCAATAATTTCAATACAATTTTCCGTCTTCAATAATTCTCTCGCAATAATGTCGCAGAATAAAAGGAAAGAGAAGAATAAAGAAAATCAAAAGAAGAAAATATTGAAAAAAAACATTAAAGAAAGTCAATAATCCCTGACTTTTTTGTTTTTTGAAAATAAAAGATGATAGCTGAAGAGCAAATTTCAATTGTTATCTTTACTATACATCATTAACTAAAAGTTTATTGTGCCATTCACAAGCAATTAGTGATTGATGCCAACAATTATCAGTTATTCTGACAGATATGCTAGATATGCTTATTTAACTATTTCTAGTTAATCCAAACATAACAATTCAAGGGTAAGAATCCCAAAATCAGAGCAACAAATCATTGGTTAGATAATACAAATCTAGATTTGTTCTTAAAAATAGAGCTTCTTTCAGAACTCTGAAGAATAAGTAGAATAGTCAGAATGAACCCATTTAAAAAAGGTATTATAGATCAATTATTACTCCTATAAAATGAAGATACCTCGATTTTAAGATGGATTTACTTGTATAATATACAAAAGATGCAGAAAACACTGATTTTTTTTTTGAAAAAATTCTTGTTTTTAGGTAACAATTTTATAATGAAATTCAAAATTTCCTTTAAACAAATGCTAAAATAAATAGCCTAAGTTTAATAGCTGGCACTTCACACTGATATATTATCATATATATTCCTAATAAACAACTTACTGTTTTATTTTTAACATATTAGCAACTCGAACAATTAAAAAATTCACAAATTAAGTAATGCATCTCCAGTTTTTCTTTTAATTAACCAATTATATAAAGGAAGGAACTTAAATGAAATGCATGCATATGTTCTTGAGCTAATCTTTAGTTATCTTTTCTTTCATACAGTTTAATTTCTGGATATAGTTTGAATAACGAATAGTTCAAATACATTTCAAATTGTTCTTTCTTTTTTTATCTATTCGAATAATATTTATATTATTTAAAAAGAAATGAAGCGAAACAAAACGCAAGGGTGAAAAGTACAAAAAAGAGTCAAACTTCGATCTCCTCAATCCTTCCTTTATTTGTATGTTGCGTTTCCATGTATAAAGTAAAGATGGAAATTCAGCCTGTAGTTTATCTATCCATGAGACGAAGAAGCATTAGTTAAATGGAATTTTTTAAGTTGAAATAAAATTTTTAAAATCTCTGCCAAAGTAAACTATTTTTGTTTTTGACTTTTCTTTCTTCAATATTTCAGAGAACAGATAAGTAATATAGAAAGAGACGAGTTTATTTAATGAATGATGAGAGGAAGAAAAGTAGATAGATGATGGATGGATAGAAAAGTGTATGGATGATGCTAATTCTTTATGTAAATATGCCTTATTTGATTGATAATTTTGAGTAAAGAAGAAACACCAAACCTTAATTCATTGCTTTTTAAATGATTCCAAAAAAGAAAATACCTTAATATATCTCAACTGTTCACTAAAAAATATAAGTAGACTTAATCAACAAATAAAAAAATAACCAATTCATTATTTAGAAACGACAAATAAGTAAAATATATTTCTTCAAAATGAAATAGAAAAAAGATTTTAAATTCGATCAGTTATTTATACATCGAAGAGAACATCACTTCATGCGAAATGGGACAATTAGTTAGCCGAAGCTACCTTGTTTCCTCGATTTAAAACGGTTCTGAAAAATTATTTGCAGAAATTTTTGTTTCTCTCTCTAACCATTTTCAGTGCCAACTACTTTTTCATAGCTTATTTGTTTATCAAAGTCGAAGATGTCGACTTGCTTCCATAAACCTTATGTTTACATATTTCAAGTGAAGAAAAATTCATTTTAAAAGCATTGCAATATATAAAACCTTTTGCTTGGTCCATTAAGATTAGGAGAGCAATAGAAGCTATAAATTTTTTAACTTACAATTTATTCCAAAAAATTATTTTTGTTAATCAATAAGAATATCCCTCAAATTACTAAAAATTTTTTACCTCATTATACCAGAAGATCACTTTTATACCATTCATTGAACTTCCCTACACTACTTCTCTTTCTCTCTACTAGTAGTCTCTTGTAAATCCACCATCCTCAAGATACCAAAACAAGAGTTGACCGAGCATTTTAAAGATATCAATTTGATTTTTCAAAAAAATCTTTGAAATATCTCAGGATTTTAAAATTAAATTCCATCATATAAAAACATACCAAATCTTTTCTCCATATGTTCTCCATTCCCGGCACCATCCGCATCCACATTTTTATCCAAAATATCACTTTCCCGTAAATCCATCAAATGCATATAATTTGTAGTAGAGTAGCAACTGTAACAGTAAAAGCAAAAGTGGCACATATTGTTGATGATGATAGTAATGTAACTGTGTAAGCTAACAAATCTATTTTAGACGAGTATTATTTGTTTTATGTCGCTTTTCAATCATCTTCGTTTGTTGGCAATATATTAACTTATGCTTTCGAAATCGCTGAAACAGTCTCACTTACCTGTACCAGACATAAGAATTATCCTTCACCAGCTATCGATGATTGTATATTGTTTGAGATTTGCGACATTTTTCTGAAAAAACCAATGAAATACTTCCGTGCTTTATCTAGAATACTATAGTATAACAAGCGCGTCATTTTAAATTAGGTCGCATAAGCATATCCATGAAACCAAAATATTAATAAACAAGTAACGATTAATGTTTTATGACATCTCAGCTAGAAAAAATGAAAAATGAAAAAACTTTTTAATGAGTGAAAGAAAAAAATTGCTTTAAAACAATGAACACATATCTCGAAAATATATAGAAAGAAACTAAAATTATGCGCGAAATAAATACTTCCATACAATTTACAATCCCAAATTTACTACCCTCTAAATTTGAAAAATTTTAGCATTGTTTTAATTTTCTACATTTCCAAAAAAAAAGAAACTCTTCTTTAAGAAATAAGCATGCAATTAATTTTTCTATAAAAAAATTTGCAACAGTAATTTGATCGTGCAAAATAATCTCGAACTCAATTTTTTCGTTTTTCAACACTTTATTAAGAACAATCAATCAGCAAATATCATCATTAGCAATCAGCATTAGCAATCAATCAGCAATCAATCAGCATTAGCGGTTTTAACGGAACCTAATGATAACGAAATAATCGTTTTATTACTAACTTTAATTTTAATCTAACTTTTGATTACGTACATAATGAGAATGATTTTTCATGCAAATATATAAAAAATTATATTCTTCCTTTTTTTTCTTCAATGTTTAAATAATCATTTTTTCTACATTATATCAATAAATGCTACATGTTTTTTTGTTATTAAGCTTATTAAGCATTCTTAAGCTTATTCCTAATTCATTCCTTCAAATAATGCATTCATATAATCACATACACGCACTTTTTGAAAAAATGTATTAAATCTATTCTACAAAAGAAAATGATTCTAACAAGCATTTTACTTTTCATGCCCCCTTTTCTCCTTCTCCTTTCCCGTCCCATCTTTTTACAACTATAAACAAAGTAAAGAAAATGTCAGTTCAGTCATGCCAACAACGCGCAATCAATATATTTCATTATTCTGCTGCCATTTATGCAAAATGCTTTAGTAGTCTCGAACAAAGCCATCAATTCCATCTTCACCCTATCATCATTACTGGATAATTATTAGCATTATTAAAAATTAAAAGTAAACAAATAAAAAATTTACGAAAATTATTGCTTAAAATTGGAGTATTTTAAAAACTTATATAATAAAACTGAAATAAAATAAAAAACTCTAGTTCAGCCAAATATTATTGTCTGTCAGCCTTCATATAAATATATATATACCACTTTGATCGCTATTTCTTTTCGTTACATTTTCTCATATTTTTTCTTACTCTATTCCTGATGCTGTCAATCAATAGTGATCGATTAAATAATAGATAGGATTCTTTAAGGATTCAGTTTGCAAAGTAGTTTTTCAATTAGCCAGCTGATAAAGCGATAAATGCAATCTTTTGAAAAATTGAAAAAATGTGTACATTTTCATTGTTATCTAATGAGTGAAAAATAAAGACAAAAAAAGCAGCCAATCCAACGGATAATAGTGTTAAAATGAAGCAATCTTACCACTTTTCTGTCCTATCTTCCTGATGGAAACCGTTTGACATCGGATAGGTAACGAATGGTACTGTGTCCCACTTTCTTTTCTATGCCACTCCCTACTCCTTCATCATTTTACACCACTTCGATCAAATTACGGATGCTCATTCATATTTGTCATTTCATCCCTTGAAACTTTAACAAATTATTTTACACATATCTTTTACGATTGAACCTTGAACTATCTACAACTAATTACAAGTGCCCAATATCAAATAAATAATAATGTTCATTTACAAAAACAGAGTATGGAATTCATTTATGATTGAACTTTAAACTGATCTACAACTAATTACAAATGCCCTATATCAAATAAGTAATAATGTTTATTTAGAAAAATATAGGATTCATTTGATATTCGGAAAATAAAAAAGATATTTTAATAATAGAATATTTGAAATTCACTTAATTCATGAGTAAAATGGTGTGTGACCAGTGATTTGATAATAATGAGAAGTAGAACTTAAAAGTAAACAGTCAAATTGAAGCGAAATGGAAAGAGAAGTTTTCCAGGAAGGTAAACAGATAACAATTGATGGAAATGTTTAAATAATACGTTAAATGATAATAAACAAACGATAATTTCTTCCCTAAGAGGTAAAATATTACGAAACGAACTGTATACTGCACACATAGCTATGTGAATAGGCAGTTCATCATTTCATATTGATCCGTTTAATTTCAGAGGTAAATTTAGACTTCCTTCTTCTTCTTTCAGAAGATAACGTTCAGTAACTTTATAAGATAATTGTGGACGGTATGATATCAAAGAGATTGAATAACAGTTTTTATCGATCAAGAGGGAGTGTCTTTAGAATGACAACAATTTGTTATGCACGAAGCAATCGAAATAAGTGAATTGCCCGTATTTCTTTAAATTCAATTAACATAGTATTGAAATTAACTGCAGCCGAAATAGGAAAACCATTCTCCTTTCCATCCCCACCCTTTCTCACGCAATTACTCCCTACCCCTACCTCGAAATCTTTTAACCGAATTTCATCAAATCACCGCTTGCAGGAAGAAGCTTCGAAATTTTCTCGTATGTTGCAGCTCAATTTATCTCTTTTTTTTTCTAATTTGTAAAATTAATTTGTTTAGAAATAATTAATTTCAATAATTAATTGCTTATGAGAAAATTATAAAAGAAGCGAATTATTCGAATTGTTCATATGTGTATGATTTGAAAAAGGGATGAAGATTGAGAAGGTATGGAAATACTAATTAAGAAAAGGTGAAAAATATAGAGAGAATGCATAAGGATACGCCAATTGTTAATAACAATGATTCAGATTGTTAAACATTTTGAATTAATTGTTATGCTATCCATTGTATAAAACAATCATAAGCCTGCTTCCTTTGTTATAATCAACTTCAGCTCATTAATGATTGGTTTTGTTTATATCATACAGTAAGAAGTGATCACTTCTTCATTGGCCATAACAAAAAACAAACAATTTCCTCAAAAGAATTGTGCTTCAACTATACTTTATATAATTTCTTAAAAGTTTGCAGTTTACATATACCTTTTATGATGCTTCAAAGAGATATTATCCGTTAATTTATGAGAGCGCTTAAGTTAATGTAAGCGATATGTCAAGAATTTTGATGAATTTTGATCACTGCTGCTAATAACACTTTGGGAAAAAGAATGATAATTGATGACATAAATCTGATAAAAGTCGATATTTTTAGTTTAATTTGCTAGAAAAACATGGCTTCAATGACTGAATATATTATGCAATAAAGCAATGTTTACTCATAGTTTCAGTGAAAGTTAAAAATAAGATAGAAGTAAAGAATAAACGAGCAAAACAACGAAAATAAATTATATGCCATAATTTCATGACGCATACGCATAATATTATCCTTAACTTCCTACAATTGCATATTACTTTGTTATTTTATAATTTCAATATTTAACTCAAAAATAAACGAAAATTTTAGAAATTCGATGACATATGGAAGATATTAGCAAATATTATATCAAATTTCCAATGGGTATTTGTTGGATGGAAACTTTGGTAAAATGCAAAGTGCGCAATGCATCGTACTTCATTAGTATAAATCAACAAAAAGTTCGATATACAGAATAAACTGTCCAAAGACATTATCACAGGGTCAGAGTT